TGACACTGTAATCAAAACAACCTGGTACGTGGCATAAGAATAGACACATAGATCAATGGAACAGAATAAAGAGCCCAGAAATAAACTAATGTCTCTATGGTCAGTTCATATTTGACAAAGGGGGCACAAATGTTACAATGGAGTAAAAACAGCCTCTTCAATAAATGGTGTTGAGAGAACTGGACTGGTACATGAAAAAAAAAAAAAAGGAAAAAAAGAGAAAAAAAGAAACGACCACCAACTTACATCATACATGAAAATAAACTCAAAATGGATAAAAATACTTAAATATAAATCATACCATAAAAGTCCTAGCAGAAAACATAAACAGTGAAATTTCAGATATCCCACATAGCAATAATTTTGCTGGTATATCTTTTATGGCAAGGGAAATAAAGAAAAAAACAAATAGGACTACATCAAAATAAAAAGCTTTTGCATGGCTAAAAATACCATCATCAAAATAAAAAGGGAACCAACTGAATGGGAAGACATATTTACTAATGATACACTGGACAAGGGTTTAATATCCAAAATATATTTAAAAAACTCATATGACACCACACCAGTAGGACAAACATCCAATTAAAATACATGCAAAGGACCTGAATAGACACTTCTTTAAAGAGGACAGAGAGGTGGCTTATAGACATATGAAAAAATGCTCAGCATCACCAGACATCAGAGAGATGCATATTAAAACCACAATGGGATATCATCTCACACCTGTTAGTATGGCTATTATTAACAAATCAACAAACAACAAAATGTTGGTGAGGAAGTGGAGAAAAGGGAACCCTGTGTTGGTTGGAATACAGATTGGTGCAGCCACTGTGGAAAACAGTATGGAATTTCATCAAGAAATGAAAAATGGAACTGCTTTTTGGCCCAGAAATTCCACTGCTGGAAATATACCCTAAGAATCCTGAAACAACAATTCAAAAGAACTTATGCACCTCTATGTTCATAGCTGTGCTATTTACAATAGCCAAGTGCTGGAAACAGTCTATGTGCCTATCAGTAGATGACTGAATTAAAAAGCTGTGGTACATTTACACAAAGGAATATTATGAAGCAGAAAGAAAGAAAGAATTCCTACCTTTTGCAACAGATTGATTGGAACCAGAGACTATTATGGTATGTGAAATAAACCAGTCAGAAGACAAATACCATATGATCTCATGTATAAGAGGAATCTAATGAAGAAAATAAACTAACGAGCAAAATAGAACCAGAGGCATGGAAATATGGAACAGACTGACAGCTCCCAGAGGTGAGGGGTGGGGGATAATGACAGAAAGAAGGTTAAGAAACTAGTCAAAGAACATGTATGAATGATCCATGGACATGGACAATAACATAGGGATTGACTGTGAGAATCAGGTGGGCAGAGGAGGGAAAAGGGAAAAAATTAGGGCAACTGTAATAGAATAACAATAATAAAAAAGAACAAATATATGAAATCATATACCATGCTCATCAATAAAAAGAATTAACATCATTAAAATGTTCACATTTCCCAAAGCTATCTACATATTCAATGCAATCTCTATCAGAATACCAATGGAATTTTTTAACAGTACTAGAACAAATAATCCAATAATTTATATGGAACCACAAAAGACTCCAAATACCTACAGCAATCATGAGAAAGAAGAACAAATTTGAAGGTACAATGTTATCTAACATCAAACTATACTATAAAACTATAGTAGTCAAAACAACATGGTACTGGCATTAAAATAGACACAGAGATCAATGGAATAAAATAGAGAGCCCAGAAGTAAACCCATACTTATATGGTCAACCTATAACAAAGGAGGTAAAGACAGTCTATTCAATAAATAGTGTTAGGAAAATTGGACAGATACATGCAAAAAATAAAACTAGTCCACCTTATTATATCATATACAAGAATAAACTCAAAATATATTGAAGACTTAAATGTAAAGCCAGAAACTATAAAACTTCTATAAGAATGTATAGGCGGTAAACTATGACATTGTTCTTAGTAACATTTTTTTTCCTGATATATCTCCTCAGACAAGGAAAACAAAAGAAAAAAAATAAACAAATGGGACAACATTGATATGAAAAGTTTTTTGCACAACAAAAGAAACCACTAACAGAACTAAAAGACAACCTGGTAAATGGGTGTAGATATTTGACAGTGATAAACATGATGATGGGTTAATATCCAAAGTTTATAAGAACTCAGAACTCAACACCAAAAACAGTGAACAATCCAATTAAAAAAATAGGCAGAAGACCCTAATAGATATTTCTCCAAAGAGTACATACAGGTGGCCAACAGACATATGAAAATATGCTCAATGTCACTAGTCATTAGATAAATTAAATTAAAACCACGATGAGATATCTTTTCACACCTGTCAGAATGATTGTCAATAAATCAACAAAACAAATGTTGGTGAGGACGTGAAGAATAGAAAACCCTCATGCACTGTTGGTGGGATTGCAAATTGTTATAGCCACTATGGAAAACACTGTGGAGGTTCCTCAAAATATTAAAAATAGAGCTACCTTATGGCCCAACAATTCCACTTCTGGGAATAGAGCCAAAGGAATCCAAAACACTAATTGAAAAGATATATGCACCCCTATGTTCACTGTGGTGTTATTTGTAATAGACAAGATATGAAAACAATCTATGTGCCCATCAATAGATGAGTGGATAAAGAAGATTTGGCACACACAAATGATGGAACATTATTTAGCTATAAAAAAGAATGACATCTTACCATTTTAACCAAGAAGGTATTCTACTAAGTGAAAAGTCAGACAGAGAAAGACAAATACTATATAATTTCACTTATAGGTGGAATATAAAGAACAAAATAAATAAATAAACAAAACAGAAACAGACTCAGAGTGAACAAACTGAGGGTTGCCAGATAGGAGAGGGTTATATGGATAGGTGAGAAAGGTGGATACGTGAGAAAGGTGAGGAAAGTAAGAAGCACAAACTGGAAGTTACAAAATAGAGGAATGTAAAGTAGGGCACAAGAAATACAGTTGATGATATTATAAGAACTGTGTTTGGTGCCAGATGGGTACTAGAATGATCAGGTTGATCAATTACTAAATTAACTAATTGTCTAACCACTATGCTATACACTTGAAACTAATATAAAATACAAATTTTAAAAAGAATGTTTTCTTTGATAAACTAGAAATAAATAGATTTAACAATCCCATGTTACACACAAAGGTTTTACTAGAGATAAAAGGCTCTCCTTGCAGCTGAGACAGCATCATGTCTGACAAAGCAGACAGAGCCAGCCACTTGCGCTTGTATACTCTTTCTAATGCTTTATATCTGCCTGACCCTGCGTGGAGTCAAGATTCCCTTTTAGGGAGCCATTCTCTTTTTTTAAAAATTAATTAATTAATTAATTTTTTTCAAAGACATTTGTCTCTGCCTTCCCCCCACCCCGCCACTTTCCCTTGTCCCCTTCCCCTGCTCAACCCTTCCCCTTTGGTTTTGTCCATGAGTCCTGGCTATATGTTCCTTGACTTGCCCTTTCCCCTCCTTTCTCCCCTCCCCCTCCCCCCTCCTTCCCTTTTGTCTCTGTTGGTTTCCTTTCCCTCTGACTTTCTTTAGAGAAGGTGGAGCAGCATTCAGGTGTCAGTCATCTTGCACAAATTGTTACTAGGAGTTTCCCTATTGTAGTTATGACACCTGACAGAAGTAATCCCTACAAGCCTCATCCCATCTATATTTCTTTAATTAGAGCTTCTTTGTTTTAGAGGTTTTGTTGTGGTTGTTTCTCTTCCCAGGTTTGGGGAGAAGCACAGGAAAGCCAATTATGGGTTACTTCTTTGATTAATAAGTCACTGTTTTGTAGGGGTTAACAAGTAATCTCTTGGTAAAATATGCACCATATTTCACCTACATTATTACAGAATGAATTGTGCCTTTAAAGTACATTGTCAGATAAGTGAAATTTGGAACTTTACTCTTTTTAGAGTATAATACTCAACATTTAAATGTTTTCATAAATTTTTTTCTAAAATATATTACATTCTTTCTTGACTTTATACCCAAAGGAGAGTAGATAAAATGTCATTATATCTCAGTTTCCCAGGATCATTGCAGGTAGAGTTAATGATTCAGCCCAGACCTAGTATTGGAATGCATACAGGACTTTCGGGGGCTGGGAGGGGTGTGTGTGTGTGTGTGTGTGTGTGTGTGTGTGTGTGTGTGTGTGTGTGTTGTGCGTGTGTGTGTAGGGAGCATAAAAAATCATACCAACTTGTCAGACTCCTACAGTGATGGTTGAGTTGAGTCTGAAAGGCTTTACAGGATGAAGGAGCTGTTAGGGAGACAGATGGACATGCTCTCCACAGAGTGGGTGTGTGGTGACAAAAACAATGAGGACTTGGGAACCCAGAGAATGCAGAAGGAACATACTGTGAGAAATTTAGTTCAGTGTAAACACAAACTCTGTGAAAGTGATGGTCAGGCTGCCAAGATCTGCTGTCACCAGACTGAGGAAAGCAGAAAGGTGCTACAAAGGGAGTGATGTACAGCCCTGGAGGAGAGGGAGCTCCAGGAGAGCACTAGCACAGGGCATCTGGGGTGACCATCTCCTGGTGCCTACTGAATATGAGAGATGAGGAGAGATAGGAGACCAGGATGAGGGACAGAGGATGAGGAGGAGGCACCAGCGGTGAGGAGGAAGGATCTTTGCTAGAGAGCCAGGAAGCAGTGTGATGCGTATGTAAGTTTATGCATGAATAAGAGGATAAAAACTGAGGCCAAAAAAGTGTGGTTAATGCTGACAAAATCAGAAGTAGATCTATAACTCAGAGCCTCAGCTTCCAGACTACTGAACCACCTATTCCACATCTACTAATTTCTTGTGTACAATCACCAGTGTCCCAGGAATGGCAGCGGGAAAATTGGTAGTAGGGCTGTTTATTCTAAGTAAAAGGCATGCACCGAAGTGGCTTTGTAACTGTGCAGCTGTCATTACCTGCAGTGAATGAAGTCTGGTACAGGGTTATGTTGGCTGAAGGAGGCTGCATCAAGGTTCATGCAGATCTCAACATTGTCTCCTGCCATGATTCGCACTGCAGCCTTATTTTCATCCTCAAAAATCTGTCGTTGTAAGGAGGCACACAGGAGCAGCATGAAGTCATCTGGCAAGACAGAGGTAAGATCATTAAACCTGGGTTTACATATGTAGGAAACAGTCCTGCTCCTTAACTCCTAACAGAGTTGTGTTTCTAAAATTCTTCCTAGATTCCAATGTTGGGGCCAAATCCCACCTTCCCTCCCATGAGGGTTGCAAGAAAGACCATAGGCATTCCAGAGGCTCAAAGTGGGAGAATCCCTGGATTCTGACCACACCTTGGTGAGTGAAAGTATCAGGTGTAAATTATTGGTTTTCATGACTCTTTTTATTTGCATGTACTCTCATCAAAGTTTTGAGGAGACCATTTGAGCACTCTTCCCCATCTTTGTCTTTTTACATGGGGTAGAAGCAGACATTTCTGGTTTTCTTTATCCTCTCCACTGCCTTTTGCATTTGTAATCAAAGACTCTTCCCAGAGCACACATTGTAGTGAAGTCTTGGTGACAGCAAGCGAAAATTATGGGCAAATTTGTGACAGTGGAGAGGTCTGACAGAGCTGTCCTCATGGCCAATGGTTCAGAACAGCTGGCCTAACAGCCTCCAACCCAAGTTGTTTTGTTGTTTTTTAAATTAAATTTGAATATGTTTGAGCAGTGAAGTCACTCCTTGATTTTCCACAGCACCCAACACTCCCTGTTGTCGAAGGTGGGAGATAATAACCTTGACCTTTGGATTATTGGCCTGACTTTGGAAGGGTTTGGGGCTGTGGCCCAGCTCAGGATCATGGGAAATTTGAGTAGCACCTTCCCGGCTAACAACAATCTTATCTTTACATTTGGTCTGTCAGTGGTGGCAGTAGAAACAACTGCTTCACAAACTACCTCCCTCTCCAGTCTACCTTCCAGAAGGTAGGTGCACAGGGGTGTATGTTGGGGGGCAGGGTGAGCAATGTGTATTGGAGGGTGAAACTATGAAAGTGAATATGGTATTTCAACATTTATTTATTAATTTTGCAAATGTAATAGGGCAAGGAGAAGCCATTAATGACCTGTGATATTAATGAACCGAGACAAGCATTTTACATGATTTTAAAGTGCAGTGGAAGAAGTGAAAGCACTAATGCATAACGCATGAAGATGGATTAGCAAATGTAAAACCAATACCAGTGCTCTGTGGCCTAAGGCTGCAACACTTACAGATGAGAAACACAGGGTTGGGTCGCACAATGAAGTCAGGGAAGTACAGCCACTTTATGATGTTGTCATTGAAGTTGGCACCCTTGAATCTCCACGGGTAATCTGCAGGGAAGAAGGAGGTGAGGAGCAAAATCAATATGCTTCTTTGCTGCCCTCTGTCCACTGTGCACAATGTGTGGGTGGATCATAAAAGCAGCTGGTTCCTGGGGGGGGGGTCACCCTCACCTCTGCAGGGAGCAGGGGGCATGCCAATGCAGATGAAGTACTGGAATGTGATGATGCATGCCAGGAAGCAGCAGTACTTTGGCCAGATCTCTGCAATGGCTTTTCTTCTGCGTCGATATAAGACAGCGATTAGCCAGCAGGCATGAATCATGGCATAGAAATCCATTCGTTGACCAATTACGTTAACTGACATTAGGAAACAGGTCTGTGTAAACAAGAAAAGAGGAAAAAAAAAATTGGGTTTATAGGAAAGGGAAGTGATGTCAGCTGTTAGCCCTTTGCAGGGGCAGAGACCTGCGTTCCTGAGGAAGGTTTCTCTGCACACGTACACTAGGTCTTTCCTTTTTACGTGAAGACAGAAATACTGTACAAATTACTTCCAGGGAAAAAACTGCTACATTGCCATTAATAATAACCACTTCAAACTGTGAGGAGAACATGCTATGATCTCTTCATGAAACACACAGGCACTGCCGCAACCATTTCAGGTCAAAACAGTTCATTTTGTCTAAGATTACATTTTCAGAATGCACAAACCAGAAAAAAATATTATAGCATTTTCTTTTTAAAATCAGTTAAAATGGGAAGTGATCCAGAGAGACTGAATTGACTGTCTCAAGAAGGTGGCTATTGGCACTTGGTCTTGGAAATCTTTCAACCAGACCAGGTAAACCCTTCAGCAGAATCTCCTCCTCCTACTGATCCCAAGGAGCTCTAATCATGTCCTGGAGATGCACAGTGGAACTCCAGGGTCCCACTGCCCAAAAGCAGGTATTGGGATTATCACAGAAAATAGAAAGGAAATGTGTCAGCAAGGAAACTCACCTCCAGACCAAACTTGTAGAAGAAGTAATTTATGAAATATTTGGCACAATTAATAAGTCCATCATCTAGATGGAGCCTTGTAATGTCATGAAAGATGGTTTTAGACACAGGGGCCGTGAGGTTGTTTCGCCCTCGGTAGTATTCCTGATGGCGGTAAACTGTAACCTCAAAGGCCAGAATGGCCAGCATCAGGAGATTATTCTACAAAGCAAGAAAACACAGCTGTTTGAAGCCAAATGCTTTGACTTGGTAATTTTAAGCACTCTTCATAATAAATCATTTGATTCCCTTCTTGATGTCTAATAGGTCAATGCTTTATAAAATCCCACATCTATAAAATATAGTATTAAATTCAATGTTCATTTTCCTTGTTTTCTGGTAACAATGTGGAGTTATCTCCATTATGCAAATCAGGCTAATTTACAGAATAATAGATCTAGAATCTCTAGACAAAAGCCTATTCTTGAAAAAGTACACACTTGTACCAGGAAGCAGTGTCCAGTTACCTTGGGAGGGTAGTCCAACCTTATTGGCAACTAGAAGTGCAAAGTACTTCTATGGTGTTTTGCAAGGACATCCTGGGAAACAGACTAAGCTGGAGGAATAGGATAAGCAAAGGGGGGAAATTTTTGAACATACTGAAATCTGGTTAGAGTGAGCAGTTTTGAGAAGCATGGTGATAAAATAGTAAATAATAATAACCATAATAATAACAAAAATAAAAATGTTAACACTTATGAAACCATATGTGCCAGATACTATTCTAATTACCCTTTTAAAAATCAGTTTGTTTTTTTTAACATAACAGCTCTTTATGGTAGATATCATTTGTATATTACATGAGAATATGGTTCATATTATTTATAAACATTACAAATGATTTCTGCTATATGTTTTGCCATATGATATCTGCCACAGTCAAAGAAAAATGGGATGCTTAGTACATTTCAAAATTCTAGGTGTTGAATATAAATGTTTCATTTTTAAGTGCCTTGTCAACATAATAATATTAAAATTACTCATCCATCAAAGTAAAATGTGAAAAAAATCTGAAGTATCTAACTTTCATTATGTTTCTTACAATTGCTTGTAAGTTTCTTTTCAAAGATATGCTCTTTATTTGATTATCTCTAACTGTAATATATGTCATTTATTAAAAACTGTAGAGAAACAGAATTTAGACAGCAAAAACTTTTTGTAATGCTATGCCTACTTTTCATACATAATCATTGCTGACCATTTTGTATATTTTACTCATTTTTTTCTTTGTATCTAAAAGAGAAAATACTATGTACAGTGTTCTAAAATTTTTTTTTTAAAAAAACTTCATTAATATATTTTGGACATCTTTTAGTGTCTGACATTATCAATCTCCCTTAATCTTTTAGTAGTTCTATAATGTTCCAGGAACTGTATCTGTCATGCTTTGTTCAATCAATAACAAACTACTTGATAAATTTCTTTTCAGCACAATATGATACTGGCTTTAATATTTAGTCATTTGTCTTAAAGGTGATCCTAAATGTCACATAAGATGAGACTACTATCAAAAGTACTATAGGGGTTGCAAAAGGAAAAAAGTTATTTAGAAAATAACTACAGAGGCACAACGAATCCTTTACCCTCAGGTAGACGAGCAAAGGTAAAGGTGAACACTTCCTCAGGCCAACCCACTCTGTTGGATCAATGGCAGCGTTGTAGAGTAGAGACTTGTTCAACTGCTGGAGTGGTATATCAGTTTGATTTTCATTTGGCTGAGAAGAAGAGAAAAGGGAGAAAAAATGGCTCCACAGATTAAGAGAGTTCAGGTTATTCTCCTTAAGTTTTGAGACTAAGAACATGGGGGGAAAGGGAGGGAAAGATCCATTTTAAAGGGGAAATCTCATCAGGACTAGAGACTTGGGCCCAGCAGACTAGGTTAGAATACATCTGGTCTGCTGAGGTCACTTAAAGGCCAGACACATGGGCTTGGGGATGTAGGTTCTCCAATATCCACCTTACTTCCCTAAAGTGCATTCAAGAAGACTCCCCCATCTTTGAGGCTCACCAAGGAACAGTTAACAGAAAAATCCTTAGCATTAATGGTTTGCAGCTGGTACAACATTTTGCAGACGATGATCACACATGTCCAGACAGTGCAGACACTTGAAGCCAGACGGCGTAGCTTGGCGTATGGCAGAGCAAAAGCCCAAGAAATCAAAAATACATAGTTGAACACAGACACCTGAAAACATAAAGTCAGAAATGGGGACAAAAATACATAACATGGCATAACATCCGCAAAATGAGGCAATTTGATTTATTCAGTTCAGCTCATTTCAGCAGGGGTTGACTGAGATCCTAGCATGTGCAAGGCATTAATTGCTCTAGATGCTAAGATATATGTCTTGTATGGCAGACAGATATATAATCAGATGATGTCAATATGATGTATGTAGCAATAATAAACAATAGATGCAAATAGAATCCTGTGAGAATACCTACAAGGGGTACTTGGCCCAATCTGGAGCTTCAGGAAGCATTTCCTGGAAAATATGATGCTGAGCCTTGAAGGATGCATAAAATTAGGCCAAGAAAGTTGAGAAGTACATTCAAGGTAAAGGATGTGTGAGCAACAGCAGGAAAGCATAAAGGAGCATGGTAGGTAGAGGTGACCACAAACAGCTGGGATTTCTGGAGTTGAAAGTGGTAAACTGCAGCAGTGGTGAGGCTGGAGATGCAGCTGGGAGCTACATTTTGATGGACCCTTTTAAAACCATGCTATGCCCTCTGAACCCCTTTGTGTAGAAAACAGTGAGCCACTGAAGGGCTCTACATGGGACAACCTTAAGGCAGGATTAGCATTTTTTTAGATACATGTAACTAAAGAATGGAGGTGCATCAATGGGGTGCATCAATAGACCAGAGGAAAGGAGACCAGCTCACATGCACTATAATAGCCCAGAAGAACAATAACAATGGCCCAAACTTGGACAGTGGAGCAGAGATAGGGAGGATTTGTGGATTTGAGATGGGAAGTAAAATGAGCTGGATTTGATGATGGATTGGCTTGGAGGTGGTGGTGGTGGTGTTTGGTAAGGGAGAGTGCATAAGGAATGCCTCCCAGGTTTCTGGCTTAGGAGCCAGAGGCTTGAGAGAATGACAGTGTGCCACTATTGAGACAGTCTGAAGTGAGGGGAAGGTGTAAAGAGGGATGGCAATGACTTCAACCTGGTTTTAGACTATGAGTTTTTATTGGTCAGGTGAGATGTATACTGATTTCTAACAGTTTCCACAGCAAATAGTTCATTGAATGGTGTGGAAACATTACCATCTTATTTAGTCACAGAAAATATCTCTTTATCCTGGGTATTCTTAAAATAATATCTGAATGTTAAAATAATATCCTAAAAATATTTAATATTACTTGGTAAAAATAACTGCATGCAGCTAATTGACAAAATTGAATATGTACCAACAGCTAAGCACTATGGGCTATGAGGTATGGTTCCTGTTTGGCTTACAAATCTGAACAAGAAATGTGGAGATTCCAGGACAGTATTTAAGTTTGCAGTTTGTAACCTACCACTCTTCTTACTCTTCTACTTAACTGGTTGACACTGTCCAAAGCAATGAACTTCTTAGAATGAAGTGCTGCAATATTAGGATAGTAACAACTGCTTAACAGAGTTAATTGAGGATGAAAGAAACACTGTATGCAGAAATGTCTTGTAAAATATAAAGCACTCACCAGCATAATGTTACATTTTACCAAAGTACTTTGACTAGTAATGTGACTCCTCCTCCTCAGCTATCAGCAAATGTCATGCTGATTGGGATGTTAAAAAGCAAATCCTATTAAGGATATTATGAAATTAAGTTCCTTTGTTAGTTTTTATTATGTATTTAAGACATTAAGTATAAAACCAGTACAACAAATTTACATAACACTTTTAATTTTTTTAAGTAATAAAGAAAGAGAAGAAAAAATAATATATTTTATTAAGTTCTAATTAGGTTCAAAGTAAGATATCCCGTGTGAATCCCTGCCCTCAAGAAACACATCGTGTCATGCAAGTTAGGACTGCATAAACAGCCTATGGTAGAGGAAGAGCCCTGCTGGGGAGCACATAGCTGATCTTCTAATGCAGCATTGAGAAAAACTGCCCAGAGGACCTGAGGTCAAATAGGAGTTAGCCTGGCAGAGGAATTGCTGGCCCAAGGCCTTACAGGCAAGAGAGAGCATAGGGTGGACATCTTCAGAATAGCAAGTGGTTTACATGGGAGCAGCATGGTCTGAGTCCACTTAGAGGACTTTGAAGTTTACCAGACAACTTGGGTGTCTAGGAAAGGAAATGATGAAGTGGTCTGGGACAAGATCATGAGTGTTATGTGATGTTACTGGGATGACAACAAGGAACTGCTGAAAGTTTTAAAGTAGAAGATTAACATGATCATATTTATACTCTGAAAAGATTCTTCTGGCCACATGAGAGAATGCATATGAGAAGGAGGAAGGATTAGAGCACAGCTGAGACTCTGTTAGAGTAATCGAATAGGGAACTGATATAGATAGAGGTCATGAGCTCAGTCATAGAGATATTTAGCTGACAGTGCTTTAGAGACATGCAAGAGTAGGGTCATGTTCAGTTGCCACTTATGGATATGGGGATGGAAGTCAAAAGGGGGACTGGTTGAAGATATATATTTGCAACTCATTACATATAGATGTCAAGTGAACCACAGGAGCTCACAGGATCACCCACAGAGAGTCTAGATCCAGAAAAGGGCTCCGCAGTAGTACCAGAAAAGAGACCTGGCAGGAAGAGAAAAAGGAGCCCCTGCCTGTGAATGAGCCTGAAAGGAAGGGCCAAAGAAGTGGGGAGGGGCTGGGAATGTGTGCTGATTTGGAAAACAAGAGAAGCGACAGTTTCAAGGATGAGAGATGAACATCAATATCCAATGTCACAGAGAATTAAGTAAAATAAGGACTGAGCAGACTCTGTAAGGTAGGTGCTTTATTTTTTTATCATTTTACAAAGAGAGAAACTGGGGCTCAGATAAATGCAATACTTTGTTCAATGCAAATGTGGTTGACTATGGTTTCATTACCTCTCCAGTGATAGGAATCTCATGGAATGCATATAAAAAACAAAAAACAAACAACAACCAAATATCTGGGTCCCAACGAATACCTGATAAATCAGAATTCCTATAGAACAAGTGTGCAGGTGATTCTTATTATCAAGGAATTTTGGACAGTAATTTTATCCCATAATGCCTTCCTAAAAAAACATTTTTACACAAATTGTCATTTTAGCTGAACATCAACTTGTGAAACTAGAAGCTACAGTCCTGAGACCAAAGACTCTGAGGACTGTGATGCCTCACCCTGTGCTTACCCATCCCTGGGCTCCCTTCCTCAGAGAACCCACAACTTCAATGCAACCTCCTGCATATGAGCCCCTTCCCTGTGTGCCCAGAACTTCCAGGGACACCTGTAACCCAAATTAATGTGACTTTGTTTTTATTTACCAGTCATTACCATCAGACTGCAAGCTGAGACAAGAAGTGTTTTTAATGTATTTGTACCAGCATCTAGCACAGTATAAGCATTCAATTTATTGTACTTTATTGTAAGTATATTATAAAGGCTAAAAGCAAGCTTAGTGAGAGTGAAAGTAACAATAATAAGGAAACATCAACTGACATCTAGGAAGAATCTCAATCTTGCAAAGTTATTATGACTTCCTTTCTTCAGTCAGTAAAGAGTCATTGAGTTTCTACAATTGGCCAGGCCCTCTGGGAGTTAATAAGGATACTGAAAGAAAGAGATGATCATTTTTCTCAAGGAATAACGTGATCTCACAGAACACTCTAGAAACATTTAGAAATTGAAAACATGGTATGTATAAAAAGGGGAAGAGAATATATTTTTAAATTAGGTCATTCTGAAGTCGTATCACCCCTCAGTAAGAGATGTTGATATAGGGAAAGGTTTCTATAACGAACTCTCAGAAAACTCTTCTACTTTGGATGCCCATAATGACAGCCTTGGAAAGGTTTAATATTTGTAGCAGAATGACCCAAGAGTTTGTGAAAACAAGTACCCTGGCTGATGGCATTGGATTATAATAGTTTGATTCCAGAGCAAATGGCCACAGCTCTTGAAGATTAAACTGGGGATGCTGACTTTGTTTTCATTTTGCCATTTACTTATCAGCAATTTTTTGAGAAAGGATGTATTTTGTATAATCAAAAGTAAAAAGCTATAAATGCAAATATATATAGCAAGGGTGATGGCTGACAGGCCTCTCCTATTGAGATGAGTCAAGCATTGAAAACAGAAGAGGCCCCTGCAGGTGTCAAATGGCATCTCAGAGGTGCAGGACCTCAGGGCTCCTTTTCCAGGTGAATGTGCCCCTGGAATTGTGCACTATAGCCATTCTGATGTGAACACTCTCCCTTGTTATAATAAGATAAAATTCAGGCATATCACATGCTGGATTGGCATATGGCTCCTTACAAGAACCACATACGATAGTCACTGTCTCTCTTCCCCAACTGTACTCAGTATAGAAAGGTGTTAAGTGAAAGGGTCTTGAGACACCAAGTTAGAACAGATGGTGACATAACGTTCCAAACAAGGTGCTGTTAGTCAACATATGGAAATTATAAAACAGTTGTTGGAAACCCATTTAGGGGTCTTTAAAGCCCTCCAGGAGGAAATAAATGATTTAAGGTAGAAGAGGTGAGAGCGTAGTGGGGGAGGGGGAAGTATGAGAAAATTTCTTTGTAGGGAAGTGATTCTGTCTATCCCCTAACCCTAAGATCATGGGGTGGGATGAAGGGAGGCTGCATTCTCTTCTCAAAGTCCCGAGTGAGGAAGCTTCAAGCTGGACCACTCTTAGTGTGTAAACAAGTATATGGGAGTTTGAGCACAGAGTTTTGGCATGGATATTTAACTTCTACCCAGAAAATCCAGCGGGCAAAGAGAGAGAGGCTGCTGTGGTGGCAGAGCACAGGGCACTGCTTCACTGGGGTCCAAGCAGGGCAGAGGCTCTGTGAATGTTGCCCTTAGACCTGATGCAGGAGGGAGGCAGTGACGGGAGCTGTTCTGAGGGGATTGTCCAGAGGAGGACAAGTTTACAAAAGATAGGGTCCCTGGAAGAGGATGCTGGGAAGCCAGGGGCAGAGGAGCCTCCATGAGAGAAAGGGTAGGTTTAATTTATCCAGCCCAGAGTGTGAGGCTATCCTGTGATAGTACTTCAAAATCCCTCACCCCAACTCCACCACCAGTCTGTGGTACAGCTAAGAAAGTTTCTATCAGAAGTTAGTTCAATGGGGTGGAGGCAGTGAGGGGAGGGATGTGTGAGAAAGAACAAAACAGCTAGGGAGAAGAGACACTGCTTCCTGGGTCAGAGATCAGAGTTTGATTATTCTCTGTGGATAGATAATTTTAATTAATAAAATGAGATTTTGTTTCTTTTTAAGATAACTGTAGGACTTTCCATTACTTAAGGATTATAAAGTGTTTTGCATTCAGGAACATGAAGAAAAGTTTCCCTGTTGAATACATTCTAAAGGGACAAACCTTCACTGACATTAATAAGAATCAGCTATGAACATATGCTGGTTGGAGCCCACGGACCAAAGTTAGTAGAGAGAGGGGAGAGACCTCAATGTCATCCAAGGACTACACTGTAACTCACACTTTGGGTCCAGAAACCCCTCATGGTGACAACATGTGAAACTCAGAGATACACGTGGGGGTTAACCATTTTACATCAGTAGAATTGTTGCAGATGCTAGATGCAATAGGAGCAGAGTTTCTCCAATTCATGAAATGGCTTTTGCTCGTTTTTTAGCCCAATGTCTTCTCTTTTCCTTTTTCATTCCTCTTTAATATTCTGACTCTGAAATTTTGTCTAAATTAGTCAATTTACCAATACAGTTAAAAGGTTGAAAATATTTTGTTCTCAATTAATACACATATTAGGCTAGATTGTAGTTCTAATTCATGAATAGACTTGGTTACTTAACAATGGAGCTTATGTCATTTTCAGCCATGAATCTCGCAGAGAGATTGGCTTCTGTTTTTGTTCCCACCTGGCAGTGGTTACTTACCCATTTCAGATGGTTTGCGTGAAATGGGAGACAGTTCTAGCTTAGACTGGAGAGCACAAGTGAAGATTTGTCCCTTAGTTACCTGTCTGTGAAATATTTTAGGTTTATAGTATTGTAGTTATAACATTATATTATTATGTAACTTTTGAAAAGCTGTAATTTTTAGAGAGCAAAGACTGTTTGAATTGTCACTCAAAAATAGTGCAGGGATATTAGAACTATGTGAAAATCGTTAGTTGAATAAATTGAAAGAAAGCTAATGTCTCCACAGTAAACATCAAATAATTGTTGGCTGAATGATGACTCTTTTGCAGATGAGAATACAGTAGTGCAATTATAATGTTGAAAGACCATGTCTTGTTTCAAAATATCCAATAATAAACAAGCTGAGCTCTACTAAAGATTCTATTAAATTTTAGTACCCAAGTTTACTCTTTGGTAACATAAACTATTGTTTTTTCTCAAAGTGAATTTAGGGAGATGAATTCTTACTTGTAGTGCAGAAAGCAGATTGCTCTGTAGTGAAGTGTGCTCTCTCACAATTCAGCTAAAGACCAGGTGAAAACAAGTAACCTTTGTGATATAGACAAGCCAATTGGATCTAAGCCAGGAACCTCTTACTCCCTTGTTATTTTCCCCTTTTCTCAGAAAACTGTCCTTTGTTTTTCTGTAAAATAAAGTGCACGTGCTTATCTTAGCTTTTGATGTTCTAATGTAATGGGAATTACATTTCAAAAAACTCTTGGACAGTTGGAAAAGAGACATAATGACCCACTGTGGTTCTGTCTGTCCTTATGATACAGAAAATATTCACTTGCCTCTTTCACAGAAACCCAGATGATGTACGATGAAACGATTTTTATGATGTGTAGCTCCAAAATCCACCATGTGAACACCTGCAGCTTGTGAAAATACTCCAGGAACTTTAAGAAGAGTACAGTGAGGCGGTCAATCACCAGATGCCATTTGTTCCTTAAATCTGCAAAACATCAGTTTACCCAAGAACATGAAAAGGTTTATTGTTTTTTGGTTTGTTTTTTTTTTGGCATGATTATCTAAAGCATATTTTGTAACTTTCAGTTTAGAATTAGAAGATGCAAAATAATAGTAGTGGGCGAATTCTAAGATTACCAAAATCTGGCACAAGGGTGGTCTAAGAATCCCATGTTGTGATGATGACTTAGACATCATATACTGAGACTCTGAGAAGCAAGGTTGCTTTTATCTACCTTTTAATTAAATTAGTGTGAAGAAGAATTTTGACCTTCTTTACTCTTAAAGCTGAGCTATAATTCCCTAATTTCCTGGAAATATTAAGTAACACAAGCTCCATCTAAATCACATTTTTTCTTGCCAAAGTAGTGCTTCTATAAGCATCATTCTCCTTGTAGGGGCTTGACTAGAGAACAGATAAAGCTCACCAGAGGCCTGAAGGAGCGAGCCAGGCAGCGTGCTGCCCCAGGTAGGAAGAGACTGCACATTCCACCAAGGAAAGTGAACAGTGAGTACCAGACCCAGTCTCAGTTCACAAAATGTGGTGAGACTTATTTTAATAATGACTTTTAATCAGATTAGTAATTCTTCTCTTTCTACTTCATGCTGAGGAGTAATACATGCCGACTGGAGGGGTGCATCTGTCTAGGAGGACTGGTTAATCTGAATGGCAGTCACAGCAGGGTTGTTTTGTGGAATCAACATGATACTACATTCATAGACAAAAGCTCACAAGCCCAGGCAGATGAGAGCTAACTGTCCCTTCAAGTAACTTCTTTGAATGCCTTGGGTGAATGAAACGCTGTACTTGGTTCTGAAAGTTTAAGTAAGGTTTTAGTTACTATGAAAACAATGTCACTTTGCTGCTCAGATGATGGTCAATAAAAGAATTTACATCATAACTGGGCACAATTCAGAAGTGGAGAGGACAGGTACTGAGGGAGTGAGAGGACAGGTGAACTCCAATTTTTGGTGAGACCCTATTAGCAAAGCTCAGACCTGTGTTACAGCAGCATAACACAATCCTCATCCAAACTTTGGTCCCACAGCACTTGGTCCTCCCTTCATACTGAGGTACATACACTGCTCAGATACGGAGAGAACATTTCCGGGCCTCTCCTAAGATCTTCTGAGACGAGTGAGTGAAAGGGATCAGGTTTTAGGGGAGTTTGCTTTTGGGAGGGACCTTTCATCTCATGCTTTTTTGTTTTCTACTTTTGTAAAGCACAGAGCACAGCAAAGGCAAGTGCAACATTTTACTGTTTCAGCCCCAGAACATCACCCCTAAAGGCTCTATTTTCTGGTTCCTCTCATGTTTTGGGGGAACTAGTGAACAAACTGAGCTTGCCACCTTGTAGACTCTGTCAGACAACGTGTCATGATCACTGAGGTCATCTATTCTCAGCATGTCCTATTTAAACACTGTTTTGAGTGTATGAAAAAAAAAAAGAAGAACCTAAAGAATAAAAGAAAAAAACTAAATTACAATGACAATGAAAACATCTCTAGGAGTTGATCTAAAATGATAATTATCTGTTCATTTTCTCCTCCAGTTCCCATACCTTGAAACATTAGGGCCAGATTAGAAATATATTCTTAATGATCAGTTTCCTGGAAAAGCCTAAAATTATTTCCTTGAGGATGTGTTTGAAAATGCCATGTCCAGAACTTTCAGAAATTCTACACGGCTGCCTGAATCTGCTCTGATAGGAAACATCTTGTCTGAGATTTCTGTCTGAGTGATGGTAAGAGCCATGCCCTTCTGGTCTCATTCCAGGATCACCAGTGTGGATCAGTAGCTGATAACCAGCCATCTGCTCTCTCCCTATAAGTCAGAATTATAAGGAAATTATTGGAGCAATTGGAAGGTCAATATTGTAACTAGAGCAACCAAAATACCACACTCCAATTTTTATTTCACTAAATGGGTCAAATATGTGTATGTATCTGGTGCGAGTCAGTGTTTCATTGTCTGGTCTGTCAGCCGCCATATGACTGGTAGTGGGTAGATTACCCGATGTCTCTTCCTCCTCCTCTTCATCTTCATCCTCCTCATCCTCGCTGTCTTTCCCAAACTCGCCCTTCTCCACTTTTTCAGAGCATCTCTCTGGTTTCTCCTCACCAAACTCAGGCAACTGCTTCACCTCTGGCTTCTCTGGGCTGGCGGTCAGATTCATCATGGCAAGGTCTGGAAGACTTCCTTCAGGGTGGGCCAGTCTGTTGACAGAGAGCAGCTGAGTGATGAAGGCGAAAGGGTGCTAGGAGACATTTGAGTGAGGGGCAAGTTAAAGGAGGATGAACAAAAATGAACGTCAGTGCATGTGCACAGGCCTTGCAATGTGGGGCTGTTAGCGTCTTGTCACTTTTTTTTAAAAGCTCTTTCTAAAAACAAACTGTAAACTCACTTAGGTGTTGTTATTTCTTCTAATTCAGGTTGTAGTGATTAGTCAGTAATGAGAGCTACCAACACCTAAACTTGACATTTTTCCCGGAGGAGAAAATGGTCAGAGTTTAGGATGTAGAAGCATGAAATGGCATCATGTAGAGCAAGCATTTCATGGCTTCACAGGGGGACTTACTCATTTTGGTGGATTGGTAATTTTTTCTTGATGCTGCTCAAAGTAATTGAAATAGAAAGGAAAAAAAGGAGATGAGAACAGAAGAATTATAAGGAGTATCAGAGATCACACATCATGCTACATATCATCCACTATTGCATTCCTGTGTGCCAGTTGCAGTAAGTCCTAATGCAAATGCATTCCAGGATGGCATCAATAGCGTGCTTCTGCTAGGAGCCCTAGGCTTGGCAACTGACTTAAGAGTGGACAGGACTGCAGGTTGTAAGGGAGAGAACAAATAAACTACTGAGGCAAACGGTGTCATGCTTTTTTTTTGTAATGCAGCAAACCATCCCACAAGAATCAAGTCATTCACATTTTACACAGGTTTATAAAAAATTCTTAACTAATGTGTGCTTTCAGCCAACCTCTGCATAGATTCTTCCCATTCTGACATCACTTGAAGTGTATGAGGTGGATGCTAAATGCTGTCAGGAGAAGGATGTCAGCATTGTGTCCCTGTTCACGGCACAGGTGTAACCTGCTGTATTAGCCATGGGAAGACAGCATGTGAGCATCAGGGTGAGAGCAAGGGGCAGCACAACCTCACCGACCCGGGACCGAGGCAGGGCAGTACGGCCCATTTCACAGTAGACAACAGCAAGTGTGATATTTCTCCTGGTATTTTTGAAGAGCTCTTTTTATTCATATTCAAGTGAACATTTGAAGGAACATTTATGGGCAACAGAGCAGGTAATAGGCAAAGGCCTACTGGAAATCCTGGTAGTCTCCCTTTGTCACAATTAATCTGTATATATCAGCTTTGTTGTAGCAGAATGCACAATTAATATAATTCTGTCTGTATAATTTGGGCCCTGAGTAAATCATTTAACCTTTCTGGAACTCAATTTATATTTTATAAAATGAGGAAGCTTGGCTAGGTAAAAATCTAAGCTTACTTGCAACTTGTTGTTATACTTGGAACACTTACGATGTTGGATAACTATTGTAATGACTCTATATTGTCCTTTGACTTTTAGAGAGGTTATCATTCAAAGGTGATTCTTTTAACAGAGTGTCAAGCAGGTAAATTAAATAATACCAGAAACAAATTGTTAATTTAATGAAGAAATAACATTCTATGGATGTTACAGCATTGGTGGATTATGTGTCTTAAAAATAATTGTTTTAACCATAATTCTAATGCTTAGGAAACATAATTAATGGTTGAAGTAATTTCTTTTATTTAAATGGCTTCAAAATTCTTATAGTATTTTAGATATTTGAAGCAGAAACGCTTTAGCATATGAAGTTATATAATGAAAATGAGCTCCCTTCCCTAACATGTACAATAAAGCAAATATTATTGCAAGTGTTGTTGCAATATTATTTGCATTGGATTATTGGAATTAATTGGTGGAAGGAATTATGCTACCCACCCCGTCTTTAGGAAAATTCCCATTCTTGAAACTGCAACAGTGAATCTCACACACCAGAATGGCACATCACATCTCAGCCTACATACTGTTACTTCTGCTTTGTCAGAACTCTGTGTATTAAATGGTATTAAATGTAAATGCAGTCAGGTGTTACACAATTGTCAATATTATTATGTTCTCCTCAGCATTGCTGGGGATTGCATATTGTAAGTGAGAAGATAACTTTTTCATTATGACAGGAATGTGGTAGCTTTTACTGAAGAAGTATGACCATCTCAGAGTGCATTTCTCATGTCTACATCGACACTGACATGATGTGATACTGAAAAAACAGCTTTCTAACAATTAGTGTTATTTATGGAGCAAAACACAGAGTGAGGCTGTTTCTGCACATGTCACTGTGACTACCTGACCCAAAAGGCCCTTCCACACAGGGTAGGTTGAGGGGGGATTACTGAATGAAGGACTCAGAGGAAAACACTTGAGTAAACCTTTTGAAAGTACATCTAGAAGGTCTACTTCTGGAAGCTTATACTTATAGTCTACCACAGAGCTGGAACTAGATAATGCTGGGGAGAGAAGAGAATTTAATTTCTGCATCTAATGGTGCTGATTTTGCTTTGACATTATCCTTATGAGGAAACAAGTCCTGGGTGCCCTCTAATGTAGTTTAGATTAATGAGCTTGTAAGAAATGACAAAAAGAGAAGGGAAAACATATATCAGGCTATTATTTACTAGTCTGGGAGTTTAACTAGCTGAGACATTTCACTGGGAAAATCTTCGTGTATAAAACATGTATAGATGAAAATATTTTCAATGCTTGGTTGGAGTTCACCATTTTAAAAAGATTCCTATGTGAATCCTTTCACTTTTCTTTCATTTTTATCACAGCATTTTTTGAGGTAATACAGAATATTGTTAAAAACATGTTCTTTGGAATCAGAAAGACTTAGATTCAAGCTTCAACTAGCCAACTTACTAGCTAAGTGACATGGCAAAAATCCTCACCCTGTCTTTTGGGTCTCAATCTGCTGATCTGTAAAGTGGAATAACAGTGCCTACTTCATAGGATGCTGTGAAAATTCTGGTGATTTCTGTTAAAGGCTCAAACAGTGCTTAGTATACAGGAATAGTTTGAATGTAAGAAACGATCTGCTAATGACAGATTTTCATATACTGTTTTGATAATCTGTATCATCAACTCATGCTAATAAAGATGCAAAATTAGAAATGTGTCTTTGCAAGGAAGCACACAACCCCAAACACTGGGGAAAGTGCTGTATTTGGACTGCAATTCTGCCATCAGGACATTCTCTAACAGAACTTGTGTATTAAAATGACCATCCCAAAGAAAAAAAGCAAACAAGTCTTCCTCTGGAATCTGTCTCTGACATTCTCAACAGTCTGAGCCCTCTGTGGCCCGCCTGTCACCTGCCACCACTGCATTCCCTGACAGAGGTGGGCTGCTGCAGAGGTGGGGTTGTCTGTGCAATGATCCCAGACAGAACTATAATCAACAGCTGTATTGGTTCTCCAGGAAAGAACGTATACCTTAATTTAGCCTTTTCCCACCTAGCCAATTAAAAAGAAAAGAATCTTCATTTTAATGTAAAAAATCAGTCTAGTAAAAACATTCCCTGAAATGTCCAGCTAAGGAACTTATAATACTGGTAATTTTTTACTGATTGTCACATGTGAATTACCTAGTCATTATAGGAAGGGTTTTTACTTTGGGCCTTCAAATAGACATGATGATGAACTGGATTATCAGAGAAGACTCCTCCCTCCTTCTTTCATCAACCCCACCATTTCTCATGCCTTTCCCCACAGAGAATTCATTTTCCTCTGCATTTTCTTTAACCATGCCTGTAACTTTGTTGCCTTGCTTTTATTATAATCAGGCTCTGAGCTTTAATCCTCTCGCTATTTGTTAAATAAAATCCTCTCACTGATTATTTCTCCTTTTACATATTAACAAAACAAATGATATTTATCTGTTCATTCACCCTCTCTTTCATTCATGCTTCCACAGCTTTGTACAGTGCTCCATGTATGCCTACATCATTTTATTCTAATTATGATTCTGAGGACTCTCCCCTTGAGGGCGGAAATCCAGTCTTACTCTAGTCATCTCCCTTGCAAAAATGTAGCATTGTGTTTGGTATGCATTCAATGAACAAACATTCATTGAATGTTTGGTGATTAAATTCCATGCACTGGAGAGTTATTCTTATTTGAAACAAAAGAAACAAATTATATTGCATGGAGAATTGAAGAGGTTTAATTCTGTACTGGAAACTGACTTTGAAAAGTCACATATGAAGTTAGTTTCCATTAAAGAAAATGGAAGTTCTACCTTTGCAAAATTGCTATCCAGATTCCATTTATAACTATTATGATTTGGAATATGAGGTAATGTAAATTGCACTCACGCTATTCATTAGACTACTAGAAAAAAATGTCTTGCAAATTTATAATGTTTATACTATAATAATATTTAAAGTAGGATATTTATACTGTTTCAGATTATTTTATAGAACTTATAAGCAGTTTTAGAAGACTGTACCACAGAGGAGCAAATAATTGTAAACTTAATATCACATCTTAAATGTGTATGGTGCTATTTCCTCCAAAATAACCTACAAGTCAGGATGGGAATGTTTCCGTTTCTTTATATTTGGGAAAAATAACCATTACTCCTACTAAAAGTATTCTAATGTATACTGACTGCTAATTCAGTTAGATCTTCCCCACAATTACTTGTATCATCAAAATTTTATCAGTCACCTACTCCCCTCAAGACTTTATCCTCCTTCATACCTTATAAGGTAATGTCTAAATTTTAATCAGCCCAGTGGTTGAATGTAGCTAACTCTCATTTAGAAATTATATTTATAAGCACATTATTTTTCTTGTAAAATAAAAACAACAGTGAGCATAAAGAAATAAATTATGGGGAAAATAAAACTTCTTTGCTTAATAAAAGCATTTACCTTATCACTCTAATCAACAGAAGGCCCTGTTCAAAACTGAACACACGTACCGAGAGATAGGTTTGTTTTGTAACATTCGTTCTGGGGTATAGCTTTGGACTTTACTTACATGTTCACATTCAGACAAAAAAGAGAGATTCACTATAAAGAGGATAGCACCAATATTGGAATGCTTTGAGTTTTTAATAATTTAGGATGACTTTAAATCTTGACCATTCTAGAACTCTTAGGTGAACTCACAAGCCTTGTGACTTGGGGTAACAGGCATAGGTTTCTCTCAGGCAATAAGTCTGGGAAAATCAGGACCAAAACTTGCATCAGGCTCTGCCTGGTGAGCCCAACAAACCAACTCTTACCCTTTTTGGTGCCCCAGCCACCCCTTCATTAAGCAAATGGTAAATACTTTATGAGAAACACACACACACACACACACAGAATAGTCCCTTATGTTTGGAAGGATGAGATTTAAATAGTTGCTCAAGATTTCTAGTTAGAGTCTATAGTTTATTTCTGTACCTATCAGCTAAAACACCCTGAGGTTAACTTTGTGCTCTCAGGTTGTCAAAAAACTGGCTTCTAAAAGCAACCATCCAGCCCTTGTGCCTCCTTCTTCTTTAATCTGGACAATGACACACTAATTTTTCACAGTTTTTAAAGGAGTTTTACCTCCTGAAGTCTACTCTTTGGTTGTCAGCCTTAGAATTTTACCTAAAAGTGAATAGAATAAAAAAACTAACAAATCTTTCAAAGAGTTATGTTGTTAATTGAATTTACTGTAAAATATACATTTCTATTACCTAAATTACTGGCTTTATTACTAATGACGAAGTTATGGGAATGGATATTTTAGTTCACCTAGTTAATAAAGTAAAAATAATTTTAGTAAATGAGCTCCAAAAGAATCTTTACTCTATACTCTTGGGGCACTTGAGGACAAATACATACATAGTACTATCAATAGTGACACTTTATTATGTGTGGTCATTTGCATTTTTTATCTCCCCAGCTAGGTGACATGCATCTAAGACAGGGCCATGTCTCAGTGCCCATGTTTGTGCCTTCTGTAGTGTGCAGATACATTGTGAAATCTAGTGATGTAAAATATCATTCTTCAATATGTTGATTTTTTAAGTAGAGATAAATTTGCAGAAATTGATGTTTTAATTTTCTTTTCACCATATATTTTTGTGAATATTTTCACTTCCTTCAGTAAATATCTACTTAGGGTCAACTAGTGGGTAAGGCCCCAATGTAGGTGACATGTGGATACCTTAGTGATTTATACAGTACTCCAGGCCTGAGGAGCCGACATCTCTGGCCAGGGAGATAAGACAAGCAGGCAGCTAGAGGGCTGGGAAGCAAGTGTTGGGAGGCAAATGTTGGGAGGCAGAGATGAGAAAGGGCTATGGGAATTCAGAGGAAGGGCAATTACATTTAGCTGGGAAGTTGGCACTTATGGGCAAGTTTGTAGAGGAGGTGGTTCTTGAGCTGAGCTCTCAATTTTGTGTTCAAGAGAAAGATGAGCTCTCAGGCAAGCCTTAAATTAATTCTACCAAAGAATGAAATTAATGGTGCATACATTGGGACCAAGACAAAAGGCTGAGCACCAGCTGAAGACCCTCATTAACCTCCGAATTCACTTGGCGGCACCATTTGGTATAAACATCAAATGGTTTGATTTGCAAAATACATCCACAGCATATCCAAAGACCATCATCTACTATTTGATGACATAATTTTTCATTTATAAAACAGTAAAGTGTTTAATACACCAAGAGACCACTGTTAACAAAAATAAGAGAGAAAACATCGAAGTACCCACCTATTTATTATTAGATATACGCGCCCATTGACTTTGGCATGGCTACCAGGTGAGAGGTGGAAGCACAAGGTTGCATGCGGTGGCAGTGGGGAGACAGGTGGAGAGAGAAAGAGGAGATTGTTAGACAGAGATGAACGAAGTAGACTGTTGTCTCGTAAGCTTTAGAGCATCAGGTGTGTCGTCATCACATGTTTCATGCACTGAAGAACAGCCTGGACAGCAAGATTCAGGAGCAACATGATATTTGAGATATTTAGGAAAAATTCTTGAATATACAAGTCTCTCCTTTCCTCTTGTCCCTTCCCACCTTACATGCTTTATTAAAAATTTGTAATGTTTAAATTTTCAGAATACATGTATCAAATAAAATACAATCTTAAAGATTAATTCTTGCTCCTTTCCCAGAATTAAAAATAATAAAATCCTACTAAGTAACCATATTAACATATTGTTCTCTAAAGTTTTCTAAAACAGAAATTTAAAAGAAGTCATTTTATTTTTATATGCATCACAATATTTTCTAAAATAAGTTATAGATGAATTATAACAATGGATATTTAAATAAGTAATGAATATTTAGGACATTATTATATGTATTATATCAAAATTATAATTGTAGTATAATATTGTATATTTTATAAATATATAAGTGAAATGATAGCCCTGAGAATGCCAATTTAAAAATAGTAATATTTTCTTCTTATGTATATCATAAAACTTTTACAAAATGCTAACTGCAAATTCGATAAGGTGAAACAATAATTTTTCTCCAGACACGTGACATTTCCCTACACTACCTATGCAGTGTACAATGCACACAGCACACACATAGCACACACATGCAATGGCCAAAACAGGACAAGAACAGTTGAATCTTTGCAGCAATAATAGTGCTTGCACCAATTAAGGAACACAATGAGTTGATTATTCCCAATTTGTGGGTCCTTTGTATTAAAGCATCTACTAAAAGGTAGGGGAGAGAAAGCAAAGCATGACAGTTAATCTCAACTCTGAAGGTATTTCTTTTTCTTCATCATTTCAACTTCAATGTTGACAGTGATTAGGACTCTATACACACACACGTGCACACGCACATACACATACACATATCTGGAGTCCTAATCACTATATAAATATAGTGAGGTAAACATTATTAGTAAGAAAAATACGACAGTGGGAAAGAGTTGCTAAAAAGATGGGCCATGTATCATATGTTTGAAGTTAAAATTTGGGGACTTTTATATTAAACTCTTCTTGTACAACATCCCAAAATACTAAATTGAGGTGTTTCAAATTTCTTAAGGTTCCAGAAGATTTTTTTCCCCCACAGAACTAAAAATGAAATCTCATGTACCTAAACTCTTTAATAGCTGGCTATATACTCTCTTCTCATCCTTTAAATTTTATTGGAAAATTAACTGTTAATGGAGTGCTTAGTGATAAACCAAAGCTGTGAGGAAGATAAGCAGTGACTTCAAACTGCTATCGATCATTTAAGTATTCCTTTTCTTGCTATAGTGGGGAGAGTAAGGATTGTAAATGTAACAGCTAAGGAAATAGGGAAAATGCATCTTGATATGAAGCTGTCTGTAGTTCCCCCAGAACCTATATGATTAAATAATATTTTATTTGATTTTTTTTTATTTTAAAGAAATGTTGAAGTGATATCCCTCATATGACTTGGTAGCTGCTAGCTATATGATGCTATTCTCTGAGCCATGATCTGACCTGGAAATGCTCCAAACTCTCCCAATGATACTGATAGATATTGGGTAACTTGTTTGGAGAACTGCTGTTAATGCTAATGATATCACTCCTGGTCTTCATTAGTTCCAGAAAACTAATTTTCATTCCATCCAAAAGACTCTTAGACTTTCTAATACTGCCTAAGATTTTATTCAATATTTCTGTTATTAGCCTAGACATGAAAACACCTTAATGGAATGCTATATTTAATTAATTGGCTTTCTCTTATTAGTTTTTATTTATTTTCAAGACATGGGGCTTCGTACATATTATTTGGAAAAGTTTTGTGATTCAGTAACTTGAAATATTATAAAACATTGTATTTTTACTTTTTTTTAATCAAACCACAAATGAATTTTAATGTATTGGGTTGGCCAAAAAGTTGTTTTTTTTTCATAAGATGGCTCTAATAGCTCTTACTTGTCTTTAATTTCATTCAAAAAATATTTGTTAGATTGTATCATAAGAGCTGTCATATCAACATGCTTTTTTTAAAAAAAAAACTTACTAAAATTGGTGAATTTTTGTGTAGGCATTTTAGTATTGAAGATGAAGGAAAATACATGACATGTAGTAAAATACATGTATTTTACCTCAAGAAAGATAAAAACACAACTGAAACGCAAGAAAAGATTTGTACAGTATATGGTGAAGGTGCTGTGACTGATTGAATGTGTCAAAAGTGGTTCCCACCCTGCCCCAAGCCACCATTCTTTCTCAGCCGATTTTGTTGGCCTCTCTGCCCCACTTCTGGCTTTCACCCTGCAATCCACAGGCCTCTTGGGAAAGTGTTAAAACCATGTCCCTCCTCTCTTGAAACCCTTCAGAAGATTTCCACTGCCTCCAAACTAAATGAAATCCAACCCTTACCATGCTTTACAAAGCATAATAAAGCATGAAGTTTTGTGCTGGATATTTCTTGTTGGATGATGCTCCATGGTTGGGGAGACCAGCTGATGTTGATAGCACTCAAATCAAGACATTAACTGAGAACAGTCAATGTTTTACTACACAGGAGAGTAGACACACTTAAAATATCCAAATTAATAAGGTTATTGGTGAAAATAAAAAATGTGTCTTTTAAGGAAAAAAAAAAAACCATACAGGCTTTTGGCCAACATAATACACACTTAAAGGAAAGTCTGTTTTCACATACTCTCCATCTCAAAAATTGTAATTTCTTAGGCTTGTAAAATCTTTGCTAAGTTGTATTGTCTCCTATAACACTATGGTCCTGAAAATCTGTATCTTTCTGGAAAAATTGTGACAAATTTCTATTTGATTGTGTGAAAGAGGATTCAGACATATGATAACAAAAGACAATGGCAAGCAAATGCTTCTACATACTGGAGAAACATTTAAGAAGAAAAAAATAAAGATGCAAAAAAAAGGCATTTAAAAGAAAAAATTAAAGAAGTATCATTAGCAATTAGTAATAATTACATTTCTTTTGCAGACATTTCAAACCTACTCCATTGACTAACATTATTCTGATTATTGAATAGGACTTTTTGAAAAAAATGATGGTTTGTAATTAAAAAAAGCATGTTGCATTATCAAAGTTAAATATCAAATACTAGTTTTATCTACAGGTATTGCAAGCATGCCAAAAGAATATTAAATAATAATTTTTCAATTATTGACAACTCACTTATCTATGCAGGCATTGTTTTTATAAACTTAATCTTGGAGTTATTTCTCTTGCCAATAAGTTTGCCTCTCGAGGGGTCTCCATACTTCTATTTCTCCTATAGTTTTACTTTATTTTTTAAAGTTATTGTTCACTTACAGTTGAAACAATATTATATTAGTTTCAGGTATTACAACACAATGACTAGACATTTATATACCCCACCAAATGATCACTCCTTATGTTTCTGAATGATTGATTATCATTGAAGGCAGCCACTTAACCTATCTACACCCTTCTCTTCCTGGGGCATTGGGAGGTGACAGGTTTTATCTGAGCTTGATTATTTATGGTGGCAAGATACGATAAGAAATATATTCTGGCTGATGCCTCTTGGTTCTAATGGTTGGAGGTCATTGACACACTGATAGTCATTTGGAGTATGCTCAGAATGTACACTAAATGTAACCTTAGATTCAGCAAAATGCAGCAAGGAAAATAATCTGCTGGTCATAAGTAAATAGAATAAAAATATAAAATATTTTCATCATCAAACAAAAGTGTTTTGGAGTTATTCATAATTTCAGCTGCTACTGCAGCAGAAAATTGAGTTCGTGCATGATGAAATACTATACTTCATCTTCTTTTGATGTACTCATTTTTTCCCTTGAAAAAGAATTAAGGGGAATTTTCAGCTGTGGCATCTGTGTTCTTTAATACAGTCCTTGGCTTCCTTAGTTACTGACCAAATGTTTTTCCAAAAACTGAATCATAAACTATGTAACAGAGAAGAAAATCAGTATTACCATTCATTAGAAGAACTATGGTAATTTTCCTGTAATACAACAATTGAGGGATTTGCGATAATCCATTGCGGTTTCAACACCAATGGGCAGGAAGAGCAATACCTCTCTATTACTTGTAAACATTTTATATTTATTGAGTTGAAAACAACAAATTCTGCCCATAATCTCTTAGTATGCTCTCACTCACAATCACTTCCTCACTGGTTGTCATCACAATAGAAAGCTCATCCTTTGAGTTAGTTAGGTTATGCAATTCCCTAAAACACATCACCAGCCTTGACACAAAATATAAATCACCAACTCTAAAGTATTTTACTCTGAACAGCTACTCTGAATCTATTCTGAATGACTATCATGGTTACTTTACATTAATTGGTCACACAAAAGCCAATACCAGTTGTTTCAGAAAGAGTCATCAAATATCCCACATTTTTTTTTTTTTCACTCATGGAAAGTTTAAGGCTGAAACTCTTAAGATTATTGGCTGATTGCAAGGTGGCTAAAGGAAGGCGAAGAATTAAGTTTTTCTTCCCAGTAGCAAGAGGCATGTGCTTCTTGCTCTCACTCACCTGTAGATGGCGCTGTCTTCCTTGCTGGGAATGGAATTTAGGTCTGTGAGCTCCAAAAAACGATCATGGAAATAGTGTAGGTGTAAAATGCACACCAGCAGAAAGGATGTTGGAATGAATATGCGAGTGAATAGTTCAGCCACAGTGAACTGTTTTAAGCCAAGATCCTCAAGCCTGTAACACAGAACAAAACAAAAAGCAAGAACCTTTCTTAAGAAATGACACATTCTCTTCATAAATTACATCAGTCTTTCGCTTGGCCAAGTACACCTTTCATTGTATCCCTTACTCCCCTGTGTTCCAGTTTGGCTTTTGTTTCCAGCAGTCCAATTTACCTGCTTTCACAGTGATGACTAACTACCTTGGTATTGCCAAATTCAGTGGCTGCTTTTCTCTTTTTTTAAAAATTTTGCCTCTAGTCCTTCATGAAACAATCCTGGTCTTCATACTGCCACACTGTCCTGGTTTTCCTCTTCTGTCACTACCTCCTTTTCTATTGCACCTCCAAATGCTGAAATATCCCCAGGGCTCAGTGTTGAGTTCTTCTCTAGCTTACTTTTCTCCTGGGAAGCCTCACTTTGTCTTGGATATTTAAATACCATCTTTACCTCTATGACTCAAACGTGCATTTAAAGTTCAGGCTTTTTCTGTGGACCCTCACACTGAAGTGTATACCAGAAATTGGTTGTTTTATAGTTATTTTGTATTTAGTGTTTTCAAAACAGTCTTCTTGATTTACCTATTTTTCTCAGCCAAGCTATTTTCTACATCCTCTCCCTGCTCAAGTCTCCTCTGGTACAACAGCCTACTCCAAATTCCAAAGCCAGGATGTCTTCCTGGACTTTTTTTTTTTTTTTTTTGGCCTTCACATCTCATTCATCCACTTTTCCTTCACTGCCTACACATTTCTTGAATCTGTGCACTTCTGTTACCCATCTCTACCACTGCCTATTCTAGGTGAAGCCTCCATCATGTCTCACAGGTCCACTCCTATTGCTCACTGAGCAATCTTCTTGTTTCTCGTCTTGCTTCCTGACACACCATGTTTTCTCAGCCACTCAAGGGTGCTTTAAAAATTTTCACCAAGGATGAAATACCAACCACTATTACCAATAAGCCATGCATGTCCTGGGTGCCTGGCTGAACTTTCCTACCTTTTCTCCTTCCAATTTTCACCCCTTGCTCCTTTGGTTCCTCATATGAGCCAGGCTCTGTTTTGCCTCACAGCTTTTTCTTTGTTCTCTTTGCCTGGGATGCTCTGTCATATCTCAGATATCAACTCACACATTTTTCTAAAGACAAACTCCTTCTTATCCTTTAGGTGCAATTTAAATGACACCTCCTTAATGAAGTCTGCCCTGACCACTCCATTTGTGTTTAGTGTACCTTATTGTTCACCACATCAGCTGTTACCTTCACAGACCCATTACAATTTATAATTAATTTATTTGTACATTGTCTTTTTTTTTGTGGTTGTTTGTCTCCTCTACCAGAATATAAACTTCCAAGGGCTTAGATTCTGTCTGTCTTGTTTTATGTTGTGTTCCCAGACACAGAATAGCATCTGGCACATGGAGGGCATCCAATAAATACTTGTTGAATAAATGTTAAATATGGGTTAGTCTAGCTACTTCATGATCCTTTCCTTTTGATCTTTTCTCTTAGCCACCAAAGTATATTTACCATATTCCCAATTCTGGCTGGATTTCTAAACTAATTTCAGAAATTTAAAGATGCATATTAGGAGAGGATAGAATACTATTACATATACAGGAAAAATTATTTCATCATCACTATCTATAAGGACTTAAATAAATTTAATTTCCGTGGCATCAACCACTCTTTAAAATCTTAGCACAAGGTACATAAATTAGGAGAAGCTTCTGCTTTATATTATGAGTCCATGAACCTCCTGATGAAATGAAGAACTGAGCTCCAACTTGGAACGCAGAAAACATGAATGGTTAAGTACTAAGCAGGTGTGTTTCACATGAAATTGAAGTTAGAAAATGTCATTTCATTAAATTGGAACTGAAAATTCACTTGTGGTCAATTTGTTTTTCAGTCAATATTCACAGAGTCTTTACTATGTACCAAGGTCATGGAGAGACATAGAGGACACAAAATGACTGAGACATAAATCTTTGATGACATCATGTTTTACTAAAATCTTCCATTAAAATGCTTTTAACAATATGCATTTAAGTCTTCATCCTTTTTGTCATGTTTACATCCTACCGTAAACCAAAATTGCTTACTTTTCTTTTTTCAATCCAGTCATATTTTGCCACAGGCCTGGGAAGTTTTCAAACTGATATGTATATATAAAGATAAGCACCAGCATTGTGTAAATAACCACAGACATCCAAAAATATTTTAGAATTCTCCTCCACCATTCATAGTGTACCTGTGAATCAGACATTAAAAAAATAAACATGAAAATAATTGGTTGTAGGAAAAATCACAAAAATATCTGGTTTATTCAACTGAGACAGATGGTGATATTTACAAATACTTAAACATAAAATCTATTTAATTTTAGATTTTGAGGTTCTGTTTTTCATATAGTTGAATGGATCTGGCCTGAATCCCAGTAATACCTGAAGTTCCTAACTGTGCCTTTGGGCAAGTTGCTGGGCCAGGCTGAGCTTCAGTTCCCTCCTCTGTAAGTACCTACTTTGAGAGTTGTTAAAGGTTAAAATGTTTATAAGGCTCTTATCACAAGCTCTGGTCTCTGGGAGTCATTCAAGGAATGGTATGGTAGATGCTTCTGTGACTGTGCTTATTGCTAGGAGAAAATTGCTTCAGTTTTGAAATTCAAAGTGGTAATATATGATTAAAAATGTGAAACCAACATATAGAGAAGACATCTCTCTTTATCATAAACCTGTGGATATTCATTAGAGAACACCTCCCTGAATTTTTAAAAGTATTTCAAAACTTTATTGATTTAAGTTGAGATGTTTTTATCTCCACATGTAATATACTCTTGTTTATTATAGTTGCCTGGTGTATTTTGTTCATTGTCTGCAAGAATATTTTATTGTTGCACTTGTTTCTACCATTGAGTTAAAACTTTTATCATCAGTTGAAACTGAATTTGTGGAAAGGCTAAATAATTATAAAATAATATTTTACAAATTCTAATTAATGAAACACTAAAGCAATTGAAGCATTACACATATATAGGTATACATATCATCACACTTTTCTGATTCCAGAGTCTAAAACACAAGTGAATTGGGTATCATCTAGTATGTTAGATTATTTAGCCACTGTTCTTAAATAAGTATTAAAATTAATATAATTATACAGGCTGTTTTTGTTAATAAAAACTTTTTGAAAAATTCATGAACTTTTTTCAGTTTTTAAGAAACTAAAATTTAAAAATAATGAACAACCTGAAGATAGTCACTTTCCATTTTAAAATTCTTAATATGTAATGCATATCACTTAAATGATATGTTCATGGGATTATAGTAATTTAGAACATCATCAAAGGAAGCCCACATATATTTCTGGGATGGGTGTAAAGATTAAAAAATAGAGGACAATTGTTTACCCACCTGATACAAGGCCACACAAAACAGAAACAGCACCATGTAGATGATTTTGTACATCACAATTTTACCCTCGAAGCTGACAAAGAAGAACATTCCTCCACAGACGTAGATCCAGTACTTAATGAACATGGCCACCACCAAATTGCCCAGTACTTTCATGATGTCCTGGTCATCATCTTCTTCCACTTCCTCCTCCTCCTCCTCTTTCTTAGTCTCTTGCTTCTCTTCCTTTTCTTCCTCTTCATCTTTCTTCTCTTCAGCCTCTCCTTCCACTTGTATATCTTGTTCGTCATCTTCAAAATAAAAGATTGTTATTCCTTGCTGGTTCCCTGACCAAAAATCACACTTTGATCAGGTGTTATATGAGGGCTACAGAAGCATGTGTTTTGTATGTTACTATATGATTTGAAAGATTTTAGACTATTCTAGCAAACAAGGCAGCATTTATAACTAATCATGGTCAATTTTTGTAACTTTCCCTTGATACATTTTAAAAGAAATAAATTTGGTAATAGTATATACTCATCTTTTTATAACACCTATTTCATTTCCAATATCCATGATAGCTTTAAGTATGGCAGGATCTAGGAAAATAAATAGGCAGCAATGACACAAATCAAAACTACTATTTCAATTTTGAGTTCTGATTGTTTGGTGGTTCGTACAGTGTACCTGAGAGAAATCATTTAACTTCTTGGAGGCCCTTCATCCTTCCCTTACATGGGAATCACTTTTGTGGAGATCAAATGACACAATATTTTCAACAACTCCTTGCGAATGCTCACATGTACTTTAAATGTTCAGCTTCCATCTACTCTGAATATAGTAGCTTTTCTGATGTACTTCAGGTGCTCTTTCTCTGTAATTTTGCTGAGTACAAAAAAATCTCCAGTCATGCAGTGTACACACTAATTTACCTTTTTCTTCAATTTCCTGAGTTTCAACTTTGACCTCAGATAAAAGAGCTTCCTTTTCCCGAAGTGCTTTTTGCTCTGTAAGGTGCTGCCTCAGCAGTAGCCAAAAAGTAATGGTGAAAAGTATCTGAAAGTAGAGAATTAGCAAAACAAGAATTAAGCTACTATTTTAAATGTAGATACATTTCAACAAGTTTTCTCCACATTTCAGTGGAGCTCACTCAGTAAACCTTTATTTGAGGCAGAGTCAAGCACCCACATATTTCAGCTGAAAGTCACAGGCTTTTAAATCCCCTTTCCTGAGGGTACTAGCATGTACATTGAGTTCCAGGGGTGCATTCAGCACTGTGCAAGGCCCTGGGGAAGATGCATTGGACAATCCAAATTACTTTCATTTGGATCAAAAACCAACTTTTGCAATTGGTTCCTTGAGGTGCTAGTCCTTAATTTCTTGTCCTGACTGTGACACGAGCACTGTTGTAATAGGAAGACATACTTCCATAAAACTCATTAACTCTGCAATTTTTTTATTTTGAAGAATTCTGCAGATAGGACAAACAACATTTCCTCCTAGAAAATATACTTAATATTCTCACTCATCTCTCAAAGCTGAAGGAAGAATTGTTGTATGTGATGTGTATATAAATATTTGTAAATTAATGTTTTCTTGAGGGCTAGGAAAGAAAAACTTATGATTTTAGGGCTTTGTTCTTCAGGAAATAGAGAGTCTGGCACGTAATAGCTTTTTGTGTTAGCTCTAGGGAGTTATAATTCACATACCATTAAATTCACCCATTTAAAGTGTACAATTTAATGGTTTTTGGTATATTCCCAGAGTTGTAAAGCCATCACTACAATCAGTTTTAGAATATTTTCATCACCCCCAAAAAAGTCCCATAGCAGCCACCCTCTTTTCTTACCACCTCAGCCAAGCTCACCACTAGTTTACTATCTGTCTTCTATAGATTGCCTTATCTAACCATTTTATAGAAATGCAATTACATGTATGTTCCTTTGTAAGCAACTTTTCTTACTTAATGTTTTAAAGGTTTATCCATGTTGAAGCATGTACTGGTACTTCATTCTATTTTATTACCAAATAATATTTGAGTGTATGAATAGACAGCATTTTACTTATCGGTTCATCGGTTAATGGACATTTAAGTTGTTACTATTTTTTTGTGGTCAGTATGAATAATACTGTTATGAGGATTAAAGTACAAGTTTGGGTTTTTTTAGACTACATACTCTCAATTGTATTGAGAAGATAGAGTTTGACATTACCCTTGGCCACATTATCTATAAAGATAAAAAGTCTTCATATCTAATCTATTAGTAATAACATATCTGCCCATAATATATGACCAATGCACTTCAGTTAGGATTAGCTAATTAAAATCATCAACTGTGTGTATTAAATAGCATCTGTTGCAATGCCAGAGCTATTGATTTAAATAAATTGCTTTGTGATTTGAAAAAATCTTATTGTATTTATTGGGGTTATATTGGTCAAGTTCAAGTTTTTGTGTGGACATAGGTTTTCAGCTTTCTTGGGTATATATACCTGAGAGTGGAATCACTTGGTGGTATGGTAATTCTATGTTTAACATTTGCTAAACTATTTTCCAAAGTGCCTGCAGCATTTTACATTTCCACCAGCAGTATATAATAGTTCCAATTTCTCTACTTCCTCATTAACACTAGTTATTGTGGTATCTCATTGTGGTTCATTCATAGTAGGATTTAAATAAATATTTGCCAAGAAATGAAAAAATAAATAGGCAAATGAGTGGATCATTTTCACTTTGAATAACTGCCCACTTAGCTATCCATAATATGCACTTATCATTTACCTTCAATATAAACCAGTGCCAATAAGTCCTGGTAAGCAAACATACTTAAGACAGTGAAATCACAACAAATTGAACTATATAACTTCAAGTTGGGAAATAAATCTGTTTCTCTAATGCACATGCAAAGAGCGTAGGAATAACTGGGAACCGATGGGACACCTTTCCTAGGAAAGGTGAGTAAAAAGCCAGGTTTTGAAAGTGGTAGCTGACATAGTTTGGTGGAGCCAGGCATGAGATACTCTAGAAGCTGAAGAATGCTACAAAGTAGCTGAGTCTGGCTCCACCAAAGGTGTTCAGACCTTTGAGGACCTAGGCCATATTCTTTCTTTCTCTCATTTTCTATCATAATGATGCATCTAGTACTCTGGTAACAGTGTATGTTTAATAATGTGCTTTGACCAATGTTGCTGTGATACAAATTTTATGATCTTGTAAGTGTTATTATCTATGACAAAGCCTTGCATATTTTTTGAGCTCATGGGTACATTAAAATATAAGTGCAGATCTTAGTTTTCTTACAATAACATTTTCTACAAGTAATAAATTTATTTTCCTAATGTCTCCCTCCACCAAAGAAATGTTAATTTTATATTAGATAGGAGGTAGTTCAACTAGTTAGGTGACATGCATTTTTAGAAGTCTCACCAATATTTTGAGTCAGGTTGTAATGGATTCACACAAAGTGCTAGAGTAGGCAGTTAGTTAGATAATTAACAAAAGAGGAGGGAATGAAAGGAACAGCCACAAGAGGAGGAGGAACAACCAGCATCATTCCACCAGATTAAACAAGGGGAGAGAGAAAACATGAGGGGGAATTTCTTTTACTAAAGTGTATGTGCAGAAGAAGCCAAAATGGTGACCATAACAGCAGGAAGACAATGCCTGGGAAAACCTAGGAAAGAGATTGGGTGGTTTGAAGGAAAGCCTTCTCCTTCCAGGACTGAAGGAAATATATGGAAGCTAGACAAAGTACCCTGCTGCGCCCTCCTTGAAGCATGTCTGTGCCCTTCTGTGCTCTTCCTTCTCTCAGGCATGTAATTTTTACCTTCTTTTCTCTTAAATTCTAAGGGTCCCCAGGAGACTTGCAACCCAGGGACCAATGAGCAGTGGCAGAGGACCCGCCTTTTGCCTCTTAACTTCCTTTTCTGAGTCCATGCAACCCCTACCCTGTCTGCCTGCTCTGCCTGTCACTCTAAGAAGTCTTGCCACTATTGCTTAAAACTCATCCTATATGAGTATCCTTGACATTCTTTTCCAACGACACTGCTAAAGAATCCATTTACTCTGATAACAAAAGGATAAGGTTTTGACCTTTCCTTATAATAAAAGACTAACTTATCAGTTTGTGTGTTTGTGTTTTGTGTGTGTGTGTTTAAGGGGAAAGACAGAGAGGGAGAGAATTAAAAAAAAGAGCTTCAGATAAAGATGACTTGTGAGAGCATTATGTGGGACTTGGGCATGGAGTAAGGTTTGGGAAAGAAGGTGCCAGTAGGGTAGGTATGAGAGTTCTATATGAATGAATAAATGAATTAATGAATTTGTCATGGTCCATGAACACAAGGGATTATGATCTACTTCTGCCATTAGAATTCACCTGTTAGGATTTTTTCCTTTACCCCAGCAGCCTTCACCAAAAAATCTGTTACAAAAACCAGTCCTCAGTGTAGTCTACTCAATACCCCATTTATGCTGATTGCCTTTGTTATGAGGTGTCTGGTAATATGTAAAAAAAAAAAAAAAGGTGGATTTCATGTGATGTAAATGTATGTCTTTTTCAAGAGAGCAATTCTCTGGCTGGAGAGGGATTTTCAAGGCTCATTTGTAATTACATGTGATTGATTTACTGTCTTAACATAATGTCATCAACACTAAGGAGATATGTATTTAGAGTGTGTTACTCTGTTCACAGAACAAAAAAGTTGGGGCACCTAATCTTCTGAAGTAAAAACTATTCAAATGGGCCATGAAAATAATGGGTAGTGAAAGATTATGAACTTTCTAACTGCAGATGAAAGCATATTATATAATCAGTAGAGGAGAGAGAAGGGTGTCATATTTAACTTTTGCTGCTAAAAATCTTTTTAAGGACATAATTGGAGAAAAAAATGTTTTAACTAAAGATCAAGATTCTGTAACAGCAATGCGTTGAGCCTGATTTGCAAATTAATGTCAGACCTCTGATACTTTGATATATTTTACATTTTATTTTCCTATTTTCTCCTCTAATTTCTACTATACTGTAAATTATACTAAAAATAACATACTATATTTTTTCTTTGAGTGGAAAACATTGTCATTTTTAAATAAAATCTAAAAGTGTGGTGTACTATTTGTCCATGTTTAAATTATAGATAACTTGGAAGTAATATGATTTCTTATAGTTTCATATCTATTCATTTTTGTAAAGCAGTGAGTATTTGGAATCTATTTTTGAAATTTTTTGCTTAGATATGATTATTATGATTTTTGTAATTACAATATTTTGTTTTCTTGTTTTCCTATTCACTTACCTTTGAGGCAAGTTCTCCTGGCTCTTTCTTTTCTAAAAATCCTGGGACCTTTTTAATTTCTGGAAGTTCAAAGCTCCATATATACTGTAATACCAGCAATAGATTTGCATAGACAACCATGAAAGGGGAACTAATCATAGCGTATTTTCTTCTGTTGCGAATCATCCAAAGAGCGCATGACCAAATCAATAGCACAAAAGTCAACCAGCTGTGATAAGTGATGCTCCAAGCCTCAAGGGAGGAAGGAAGAGAAAAAACAATGGTCAATATAAGGTATAGTCCCCCACTCTGGTAACTTAAATGTTATATATAAAGAAAAAGTCAATAACTTTGAAACTAGGGAGAGGGGAGAATTGTGCTGAAAGCATGGAGAGAGATCTCAACCAGTGGCATAGGGAGGGAAGAAAGGGGAAAGGTTGATTTTGCTGAGAAGAACATTGCTTTTGAACTTCTTGTAGGGAATGGCGTTAAAGCCAAGAGGGTCTTTATTCCATGTTCTTTTCCTTCTAGCCCCAAAGGTCTTCATCTCTACCTTACTTTGCAGTATTGAAAGCAACTCTTTTCACCAAAGTAGCTTGGAGTCAGCAGTTATTTAAGAGTGCTGAGTGTGGCCCACAGCTGGGCTCAGAAATGAGAACTATGGCAATCACCAGGGTAAACATACTCATTGCGCTTCAGAGATCATTCTTAAATGATCCAAGAAGAGACACATGATAGAAATTAGGAAATGTATGTAAGGAAGTCATATATTAGGCTTCTGCACACCCCAAACAATAAGGCCAGTTAATTTAAAAACCACCCTCAGTTTCTGTCCTGTAAGGGATAGGACTAAAGAGCCCTCACACCATTTGGACAAATGATACATCTTCCATTCACATTAAGCTTTCTTATTTTTAGTTATAGTAAACATTCAATATATTTTACTTTCAGGTATACAGCATAATGGTTAGACATTCATATAACTTATGAAGTGATTCCTCCCATTAAGTCTTGAACTCACGTGGCACCATATATGGACAATATTCCTTATGCTGTACTTTACATCCATGACTGTTCTGTAACTACTAATTGTACTTCTTAACCCCTTCACTTTACAATCAGAAATACAACTCAAAGGGCAGCTACCAGAACAATCTGTAAATGAGGTTCACAAATATTAACTTCAGGAAATCTAGCATGTTTTACCATAATCTCTGATACAAAATTTTTGTGAAGACCTTTAAAAACATTTTCTAAGTATGTTTGAGGCTAACTATAATAAATCATATTCCTGAATATCATTAATTATCAAGTTATTTTTAAAGTCTGAAATGTTTTACAAGTCTGTTTTGCTTGTGGACAGAAGGTTAAGTATTTAGATAAAAGAAGTCAGCAGAGAATAAACAAATATTTTCCCTCAGCAATTTGCAAATTTGTCCTAAATTACTTAAAATCATTGGTTAAAATATGTAAGTATAAACTGAAAATTAAAGTTTCTTTTATTAAAATTAGTGACTGACAACTATGATCAAGTCTGAATTATTTTAATGAAAATATTGTATTTGGAATTAGTGTTTATCAAAATTTGGGTAACATTTAATGCATCTGCATTAACTAACATATTTAATGCATTTATGCCAGTATGAAATGCAAATGACTACCATTTTTTTTGTGTGTGTGACCCAGAAAACTAAGCTCCATAGATATTATAATTCCAGCAGATTTTCTGCCTCTCTCCCCTCTGCACACTATTCTTATTTGGGAAGGTGAGGGTAAAAGAGGGGGAAAGACAAGTGATGAAGATTTTTTTAAACTTCTTGCCACTTTAATGCCTAAGTTACATTTGCCTCTCCGTTGTAGAAGTTGGGAATAGACTCTGCATTATGTTGCTCCCTATATTACGTGTCTGGATTTCCTGAGAGCTTAGCATTTTTGTATTTTGTATTTTTGAATAAATACATGTATTGTTCTAACAGACCTGGCTCCTCACAACTTTTCTTTCTGTCTGCGATTAAATTTCTGCTTCAGTAGGGAGCTGCGATGGGAGGCAGGCACTTCTAGAACATTAATAGTGTGGCTCCACTAAAGCAACAGAAATCACACCAGGTAAGAGCACATCTTTAATGAAGGATCTGCTCTACGTTGTTTTTATAACAGTTTTTTTTTCCTACAAAATGTGTATTTAAAAAATGTTAAAGCCCTATTTATTTTACTAAAAGGGACTAAGGTTAACTGGCTTATTTTTATAAAGAGAGGAAAAGAAGTATATACTTTTTTGATTTAAGAATTAGATGTTAAGTTGCATTTATCTGTTTGATATGTTAAAATCAAAATTTTGCTGTAGAGATTGAAGTATAGAAAATATAAAAAAGTACCCAAAGAGCACAGAATTAATATTATTTAGAGAATATAATTTGCAATTGCTAAAAGAACCATCTTTAATTTCATGGAGCTTTCTGTCTCCGAATCCTCTCTTAGATAACTACAGTGGTCCTTACTAAATGCTGAAGTTGGGAAACAAATTGAATCAGTGCCTGGAGAAACTGTGTTTAGGTATTTTCCCTCCTAGAGTTACAGAATTTTCATTTTTCATCATCAGAGATGTCCATGAGATCTCACCATTGACCACATAATTTGGAAGAATTTTGTGTTCAGTAAGTGTTAAGTCTCTCAAAAACAAATTATATTTCCCTGAAGGTTTGATTTTAGGAAGGGTAGAAATTAGACTTTCTGCTATCATCTATGTAGAAGCCAAAAGAATGCTTTTGAAGCTGTGATACTGGAGATGGAGGATGTATCTAGAGGGGAGTAGAAATACGCATATACTGAGTGCTCACAATGGAAAAAGCTCTTGGCAACTCTGGTTACTTGATGCTCATGTTGGTAAAGTTTATTACAGCTAAGATACAAAAAAAAGTCTCACTCATATCTGAGATAAGATGTGAATATAATTCTCACTGAAAGAAATAAAAGCAATTTATGTTGATCTTGAATACCTTCACTATCACTTAGAAAAACTACCAAATATGTCTTTTTAAATTGCCAAAATAGGGGACAGTCTGACTTGATAGGCTAATCTGGAGGAATGTATTAATGTTTAAAAGTAGGCTGAGTAGAAGAGGACCCAATTTTGAAATCTATTGATATAATAGAAAAATCCCATGAAAAATTAATATAAACAAACATTCTCTGTCAAGACATTGGGAAGATTATTAAACGTCTGCTGTTCAGGAGAGGATGGTGGAGCTTCCATCCAGTGGGACTAAGCCTGCCATTTCTCCAGCACACGCACTGTGGCCTCTCATACGTACCATCATAGCAATAAGGGCACAGATGTAACTTTGTTTCATAATGAACTGGAACACAGAGACCATGGCATGAACTTTCACACTTGTTTTTTCCTCATGGTTCCTTTCCTCTTCAAATTCTTCTTTCTCCTCCTCTTCTTCTTCTTCTTCTTTCTTTTCTAGATAGACAAATATTTTATATTTTTATGCAAATATATAAATTCTCTATAAATGTCTCAAGCCATGCAGTTCATGTATGGCTTTAGCATGGTCTTTTATTTAAGACTTCAGAGATTATTTCCAATTAACAAAGCCCTTAGAATTCAAACAGAATCACTAAAATCTGCTTGATAAGAGGGACCTGGTGCTCAGAAATTACAGGAAGAAAATTTCAATTTAAGAGACTGTGCAGGGAAGCTTCTGAGATCATTGCCAATGATCCCACCTCCTGGTATTCGTGTCCTGTGCATCTCTCTCTCAAATGTGGGATGGGAGGCCTTTGATGGGCTTCTAAAGAACAGAATACTTGAGATGGGATGAAACATTACTTCCAAGATTGAGTTTAAAATTACTGAGGCTTTCGCCTTGAGCCCTTTCTCTCATTCTCTCACTCGTCCTGAGAGCAGCCAGCTGCCATGTTGTAAACTGCCCTAAGGACAGCCCTGGTGGCAAGGAACTGATGTCTCTGGCCAGCAGTCAGCAAAGGATTGAGACCAGCCGATAGCCATGTGAGTGGTCATAGAAGCAGGCCATCCCAAGGCAAGCCCTCGGACGGGACTGCAGACTTGGTCAGCAGCTGGACTTCAGTGTCGGGAGAGACCCTGAGCCAGAGAACACCAGCCTAGTCACAGCTGATTCCTTACCCACAAGAACTGTGGGGCACTGTTATTTTAAACCACTAAGTTTTTTTTTGATATCTCTTTATTCATTTTTTGTTGGTGTCATCTGAAGCTCATTTCTAATAGGTTTTTCAGAGAAGGTTAATGAAAACAATATTCTCTGAATTCTTATATGTTGTTAACAATTTGTGCCCCTTGTATTTGAAAGTCAGTTTTGATGGATATAAAATCCTTGGTATTGTTTTCTTTCCTTGAGTATCTTAAATATGCAGCTCCATTTTCTTCTACCATAAAGTGTTGTTTTAAACATAATCTGATGAGAATCTTAAGTTCTTTGTTCATTAAAGGAATTTCTTGGCCCAGTTACCCACCTCCTGTTTATTTTTCTTTAAAGTACAGTGATTTTACTAGAATATGTCTTGGTCAAGATCAATATGGTCAGGTCAATATGTAGTGTTCTCTTTCAGTATACAATTTTAATTTTATTTTTTGATTCAAGAAAGTTTTCTTGAATTATAGTTTTTAGTATTTATTCTGTTTGTTTTTTCCTTTGAGTTTGCAGGTTAGGAACTCCTACTATTCATATGATGTGTCTTCTTTGTCTACTAAGTTTGCTACTGAGTAATGGAAAACTAATATAAAGAGCATATGGAGTATTGAGTATGGATACAGAAAGCAAACCAACCAACCAATCAACCAAACAATGAACCACTTTGCCAGAGAACATGGTAGCCCAGTTTCCTTTCAAGTAATGCTAAGGTGGAAAAGTCATACAGAGGATGAAAGTATCAGGTAAAAGCAAGAGAAAGTTTGGGGGGAAGATGCTGAGTTAAAGAGACAAGCAATAGGGAAGTACTGGCATTGGTGTGAAGGGTTTCTCCTCAAGATCCTCCTATAGTTGTCAGAAAAGTTATTTTGATTTCACAGAAGAAACAATGAATTACACAGTGAGTAAAATGTTGTTTTGTCTTAAATTAAAGTAGACTACATGCAAACAGGTTGCATCCCATTTAGGGAGTTGCTTAGCACCATGAAGAGGAAGCATAAACCACAGAAAAACCACTAGTCATTAAGCTTAGAAGTGAGCATCTCAGGGAGGTACTGATATTTCTTCCTGCAGAAGTCCACTGCCTGTCACTGCCCCCCCAGTGCTGGGGAGGGGTGAGCCTGGGGTTTATTGGGAAGTCCACGGAGCAGAGACAGTGGTGAAAAACTTAATGTGATGAATTTTACAATTACTGGCATTCTGTTTCTCTGGTGATAACATTTTTTTTGCATATAAAAATTCAAATAAAAATACCTTTTCAGTTTTGTTTTACTTTTGAAAATTCAATTTATGATTTCAGTATTATGTGGGTTTGCTTTGTCAACAGTCAAAATTCTGTTCCTTTTCATGTTAAGTGATATGTAAATAAAAGGATATTGGCTGTCACCTGAACGTCTCAAACTTTAGAAGTCACAAATGCGGGTTTTTGGACCTGCCCTTTGTGATTCCAATGCCAAAAGTCTAAAGACCACACTTTGGAATGTAGTGTATTTCCTGAGACATTCAGTAAGTGAAAGCCTTCATTTAAGCCCAAGTTGCAAATTGAAACATATGCATGTAGGAAGCAGAAATGGGCAACTAGCCAGTAGAATCTGGTACTCTGTAGAGAGAGCAGGTGCCAAGTGGGGCTGGATATGTGTGGGGGGGATCAGGTTGAGATGGGGGAATGAACTTGATCTGACATTACTGAGGAGTGTGGGCTAATGTGACTAACCATACATATTGCTAAATAGATGTGCTGTCAGAGGCAACTGCAGGAAATACTTAAAAATAACTACAAAGAACAGTGCATTAGAATAATCCTGATAAAGAATTATGGAAAAAAGGACATGATAGTTGGCTCAATGTACCAATAATACAGATTGGATGGTTGCTAGTTGTTAACTAAATGTAATTTAATGTATAACAACTCTAGCTTTAATTCCATAAAAATAGAGAGAAAAATCCACTATAATTTTGTAGCTACTTTGCTGCTACCTGCATGCATTCTGCTTCCTGACCTTCCAACCCTCCATAGTAAACTTAGCTAATTCTGTCTTTATGAATTGGTGATTGGCTGGTCTCCAATGGGGCAATGGCAACAGTGGTCAAGTCAACTGCATCCTTGCAGAAATGAGGGACTAGGTTGCCAGATATTTATATTCTTCAAGGGATTACAGAAATTTCCATTTCTAGGTTAAAGCTGAAGCTTTAAAAATATTGGTTACTATTTAACTTTTTAAAAGAAAATGCTGTGTAGGCCAAAAAACCAAGTCTGAGGATAAGATCTCCTCCATCGTAAGCTACCGATTTGTCATCTCCAGTAAAGTCTGCTTTCCCTCAACATAATAACCTGGGGGAAAAAAGAAGGGGGAAAAGGCTGTGTACAAGTTTTAACTCTCTGCTCTTTTTAATAGACAAAAGGAACTCTTTCTGAAAACATTCATCCATTAACTGGTAAAATTATTGACCATGATTACATGATCAAATTATGGAAAGATGAAAACATACATATATACAAGTTGACATCCTTAAAATCATTTTTTACCTTTTATTTTTCAAACTCTGCCCTGATTATGCCTTTTATTTCATAGACAAGGATAGAACATACACAGCAATATGTTGGGGCAGAGTATAGGGAGAAGTTAAGGAAATGAACTTAATTAAATAGACCATGGAAGACAACACTTACTAGAAAAAAAAAGAAAAGAAAAGAAAAAAGAACCAAATCCAGTGAACAATGAACAAAAGACAGAGCTGCCAGGCTGGGTCTGTGCCTGAAAGAAGCTAAAGCCCTGAATATGACCGCACCCTGTAGAGTTGGCTCCTTACCTGTGGAGTCACCGGAGGGCTCCCACCGGTACCGCGGGGTGGAGTACAGCTCAGCTTTGGCGGGGCCATTCTCTATGGGAAGGCTGGGGTGGATGGTGTGGTAGTCCACAGGATTTCCATTCACAGTCACCAGGAGACCCTGTGGGGAGTGAGGAACAAAGGCACACCTACTGATGCTGTCTTTTCCATATGGACACACTCCCTCCTTCCCTTATGCTAACACGTAACAACAGTGAAGAACTGATAGTTGAACCACTTAGTCTATATCCACTTTAGCAAGATGAAATCATGTCTATTTCCCCTCCAAACCTAAATCTATCCTCCACAGAGAGATCACAATGCAATATAAATCTGATCATGTCCCCACTATGCTAAAAACTATGTGATGCACCCTCTGTTCTCAGTAAAAAGTGTGAACTCTGGAAAGGCTGGCTGAGGCTTCATACCTGGTCTGATATTGCTAACCTCTGGCCTCATGGCTGTCCTCCCAGCTCATCCTCCAGCTGCAAGGAACTCCAGACCTTTACTAGGCCCTGCCCAGGATCATCACCACACTGGGCCTTCAATGTCCTGCTCCATAGCCCATGGTTCTGCACAGGACTAATGCAGCAGATCTCAGCTTAGATGGCATCCAATCTGGGCATCTCTACCTGGTGCTGCCAGCTTGTAATTCCCTTACTGCAGAACATCACATGCTAAGTGCAATTTCTTGGTGTTTTTTTCTGGCTTTAAAGTTTAAAAAATATACATATAAACATCCACATGCACATGTACATATGTCTCTGTGTCCATGGATGTGTAAGGGTTCCTATTCAAATTATGTAATAGGTATATCTTCAGAGAAAAATGCTTTTAGAAAACCTTCCAACATGGCTTTTTAAAAAATTTAAATCCACTCTGTATGATTATACTTGAGCTCATATGAGTCAGTGTTTTAATAGCAAAAAACCAGACATAATTTTTACAAAATAATAATTTAAAAACTTACAAAATTTTTATAGATCATTAAAATATACTCAAAGGAGATAATAACATTTATATTACTTTTACATTACTTATGCATACACAAATAATAATTCTAAGGATATACTAACATCAGATGGTTTGTAGTCATCTTGGGTCATGGATAAAAGCTGCAAAAAGCAATGCAGGACAGCATGTTAATATATAAGCCAAAAGCACTGTAATGTTTTTATATATATATATATTTAAATATATATATATTTTACCATACCTGTATCCATTCTCTTAAAGTAGCTCAATGCTAGTATGTTAACATTGCCATGCAAAATATAAAGCGACAAATAATTGAATAGGATATTGCTATTTATTAAAACCATTCTCTAGTTTCTGATGTTAACTTTTTCATACAAAATTTTTAAAAGGAATTTTTACTTATTGATTTTTAGAAAGAAGAAAGAAGGGACATGGAGAAAGAGAGAAGCATCCATTTTTTTGCTCCATTTTTTATGCATTTATTGGTTATTCTTGTATGAGCCCTGACCAGGGGTCAAAACCACAGCCTTGGTGTATGAGGATGATGCTTTAACCCACTGAACTACTTGGCCAGAGCTGATGTTAACTTTTCATTATAACAACAAATAAGCAGTGATAAACTATATTACTACAAAAGTTGATTATAGTTTTCAAGTGTTTTGTTCTAATAGATTAAACTGGTTGATTTTATATTCCTAGAACCCTCTGAGACATCTGAAGAATTCCGAGTGTTCACTTTTCAAGAAATATAAGTTTCATAATAAAGAAAAGTTAATTTATTTTGTGGTTTAATTTATTTTAAGGTTTTCATGCTGAGAACAACAAAGTAATTATTATATGACTATATTTTTTAACTATATTGATGCCAGATGGTTTGGCATCAATCCCCCCATAATAAGCATTTTCTGTGTCAATACAAAAGGATTCCTCAGATTTTTATCAGGACTAATTTAATTCTTAAAAATTACTGAGGGTCCCAAAGTATTTTTATTTATGTGGGTCCTATTTTTAAAATTGAGGTACTTAATAATATTTAATTCATTAAAAATTAAATAGCCATTATAAGGTAACACAAGTTTTATTCAAATAGCTGTATTTAAAAAGTGCAGTGAAAAGAGTAGCATTGTTTTAGGCTTTGTGTATCTTTTTAAAGTCTGACTTAAAAGAAAGCAGCTGGATTCTTATATCTGTTTCTGCATTCAATCTGTTATGATATATTGTTTTGGTTGAAGTATGTGAAGAAAATCTGGTTCACTGCGATAAGCAGTTGGAAAAGGAAGAAGTATTTTAATAGTCTATTCAGATAATTGTGGATAGTTTTTTTTGCTACTACACCAAACACAGCAAGTGGTAGAAACTTGAAGGTTAGCTGCAATGGGAAATATGGAACCAGATAAAGAACTTTCTACAGTCTGTTTCATCAAACCTATACAGGCACACCTTGGAGATATTGTAGGTCTGGTTTCAGACCACTGCAATGAAGCAAGTATTGACATAAAGCAAGTCATCATCTTTTTTGCTGGTGGAGGGTCTTCCCTTCATTTTGTAAAAACAAAAAACAAAAAAACAAAAATCCCCACATCTATGAAGTGTAATAAAGCAAGGTAAGCCTATATCTTGTACCTTTCATGGATCTTTCACCCACACATTGTAATATCATGTGTTGGTGATTTGCTTCAGTGAGTCATAGAGTCCTTAAGTATTGGGAAGTTTTCAAGCTTTCCCAAGTTTTCCAATATTTGAATTTTCATTCAAAAGTTCAAATTTTAGCATTAGCAACAAATGGTGTGAGTTGATGCCTTGAAAAGACTGGCTCCTTCAGTTATTTGCCAGTAAGTGCCTGCCAAATACCTACACCTGAGTAACCACAAACTGTCTATCAGCTGCTCTTTCAAGCAGACCTGGTGTTCTGTAGAAAAGAGCCTACACTTTCAATGACTGGTCAAGTGTTTTCCATCAACACAGTTGTCATACTTTAGTATGTGGCACTTTGTGCAGACTTCCTATTTGTCATATAGAGTATTAAAAAGACATGTTCTATGGTTGAGATGAAAGGAAAAGAAACCAACAGAGACAAGAGGGAAGGAGGGAGGGGGGCGGGGGAAAAGGAAGGGAAGGGGAAAGTCAAGGAACATATAGCAAGGACTCATGGACAAAACCAGAGGGGAAGAGTTGAGGGAGGGAGGGAGGGAGGGAGGGAGGGGGCAAGGGAAAGTGGTGGGGGGGGGCAGAGACAAATGTATTTGAAAAAATAAATTAATTAATTTTAAAAAATTTTACAAGCAAATAAAAAAAGAAAATTAATAACTAACTATTTCTAGTTCATCAAGGATATACTTGAGTGGAACTGGCCTTTTTACTTTGTTTCCTGTGAGTGTGTGGTCACAAAGAGTTGATCACAGCTGCAGGGGTTTGGGCCACTGCCTTGGTTTGTACTTTTGCACCATCAGAGAAAATGTTAGCACAGCAAAAGGTAAATAGTTTCCCAATTATTACAAAGGTAGTTTTGTGCTTGTGGATTGCTGTAATGGCCTCAGGAATTCCTAGAGGTGCATAGATCTCACTTTGGAAACTGCTGTGCTATCCTTTGTTGATGTCATCATTTAGTGCAATGGGCAACAGCATCTGAAACATGGTGTAATGAGAGAGAAAAGGGCCCCTGGAAATCCTCAGACATCTCAGGGTACCTCATCTGCTCCACACTGCTGTCAGCTTCATAAGACGCGCATTCATTGTTCCACCCACTCTCAGCACAGGACTGCCATGCTTAGAATAAGACCATGTATCTTAGAAAACCTCAGCTGCCACCAGATAAATCAGAGAATTGACTCCTCAATTCTCTAACATGCTGTGAAGCAAAATGCTGACCGATCTAAGACATACAAGATTATTTGTCTTTAGAACATTGTAAATGGGTCATTTTAACAAGTCTATAGCAGTGTTTGAATTCAAAATGGTTACTATGTGATCAAAATGTTATATGAATTACCCAATTGTGACTCACTTTTCCTTGTCAATCGATACTGTTGCTTCAGAGTAGTAAGAGACACTTGATTGTATTCATATAGATTGTTCTGATCTTCTCTAAGTAGTTTTTTGAGTTATTATTGTGGCTAGCTACCTGGCAGAGTAAAAGCATTTTCTGCAATGTATTCAACACTGAGACTGTTACCACCCAGTGCTAACAGATTATTTTGTTATTTGTTTGTTTTAAATCCTTTTTTTTAAAAAAAACTAAGAACATTCTTTCTCTTTGGGGTTAAGAAACTTCACTAGAAAGTACTGAAATACAAAACAGTGTCTCCTAGGGTATGATGGAGCCATAGTATATTATTTGGAAGCACTGGGTCCCCATGTTGAACAAAACTCTCTGGTACAAAGACTTCAAAGTCAAACCATTTCTATAAACTGAACAATTTGAGTTTGCATATGATATTATATACCTCATATTCAGCAATGTAGTATGAAAATAGCACAATAAAGTGGGAAATAACAATTCCTTTTTTAGTTCCTTACTTTTCTCTCGTCGGTTGGGTAATGGGTTGCATACCACAGGCTCCGCCTCCTCTCAGCTGTTATTTGGATGGGGCTACAAGCCAGGGCTCTGTCCTCTTCCTTGTTCCTCTCATCCTGCACCTGAGACACAGAATAACCCACAGGACCAGCCCTGTCTCCCAGAGCAGTTCCCTCAACAACCTGGGTGATCAGTGAAATTTTTCATCTTTGCTTCAGTATAATTACTTTTTAAATTAGTATATACAATATATGAGATATTATCAAGATACTTTAAAAATGACAAAAATTGCTGTCCTTTAAGTGCTAAGCTCAACAATATTAAATGTTCCTGATTGCTGTTAAACCCCATAAATTACAGGAATCTGCTCTAATGTTAAATATCCAGCTTCTCTATGTGGATTCTAAACACTAGGAAGCAGCTATGCAAATAGTTCTTAGAGGAAGAGCTTTCATAGAAAAGTGCACAGTTAACTATGTAATCCAGCCATGGACAATCTTTAATTAAGAAGTTTATTAAAGGCAGAATCATCTAGAGCTTACTCACAATATTAAGTAAGACTATATCTTATGCACAAAACTGTAGCCTTGTCTAATAAGACATTGGCTTAAATTAGACAATTGGTCTGGGAGAGACGATGAAAAGAGGGTATAAGGAACAGAATGCATTTGAGAAGTTAGTTTGGTTTCGCAACAAAGATGGCCCAATAGAAAGGACGTTAACATACCACTGATACTGGAGCAGAGGGAGGGGCGGAGTCCTACGACCCAGTTCCTGCGGTGCAGTGTGCCAGCACCCAGCACCCACAGAGACACTCAGACATCCTGGATGGGGATTCACACTCGCCAGGTAGGAGTTCATGTATTACATTTAAGACTGAACACCTGGTTCTCTTTCTTTTTCAAACATGTACTGTAGACTTTTACCTCAGAACTAACATTTGTTGGCTGGCATTTTTCATGAAAAGTTCTAGATCATATGAAACTATAATATAATCAGGTTACCTGTCTTCCATCATTGCCTCAATGAGCCATGCCCCTCCAGCTACTGTGATTTTTTTTTAGAATTTGTGTTTTTTAATTATATTTTATTGATTATGCAATTAAAATTGTTTCAATTTTCCCTCCTTTGCTCCCCTCCCCCCAGCACCCCCCATTCCCTCAGGCTATCCCCATACCATTGTTCATGTCCATGGGTCATGCATGTAAGTTCTTTGGGTTCTCCATTTCCTATGCTCTACTTTACATCCCCATGGCTATTCTGTAACTACTTATTTGTACTTCTTAATCCCCTTACCTCTTCATCCATTCTCCCACAACACGCCCCCCCTGCCCAATCTGACAACCATCAAAATACTCTTTGTATCCATGATTCTGTGTCTGTTCTTGTTGGCTTAGTTTGTTTTTTAGATTCAATTGTTGATAGATATTTATTGTCATTTTATTGTTCACAGTTATCTTCTTTTTCTTACATAAGTCCCTTTAACATTTTATATAATAATGATTTGGTGATAATGAACTCCTTTAGTTTCACATTTGCATCATACAGGTGCCAGAAATAGAAGAGAAAGAGCAAGGAATTGAAAATCTATTTGAAAAAAATAATGACAGAAAACTTCCCTAATTTGGTGAAGGAAAAGAGATATGCAAGTCCAGGAAGCACAAACAAGGTGAAAGCAAAGAGGCCCACTCCAAGATGCATCATAATTAAAATTCCAAAGATTAAAGATAAAGAGAGAATCTTTAAAGCAGCAAGAGAAAAGAAGTTAGTTTCCTATAGGGGAGTTCCCATAAGACTGTCAGCTGATTTCTCAAAAGAAACTTTGCAGGCTAGAAGGGACTGGCAAGAAATATTCTAAGTCATGGGAAGCAGGGACTACAGCCAAGATTGCTCTACCCAGCAAAGATATCATTTAGAATGGAAGGGCAGGTAAAGAGCTTCCCAGAGAGCCACTGTGATTTGTAATACTGCTATTAACTGTGTGGGCTGTGACTTAGATTATCTTCCTAGCTGCCTTCCTTTGTGCCCAGATACCCTGCAGCTATGGAAGCCCAATGTCTCAGGAGACTGAGGGGCTGTAACAGTTTTCACCTTGTGATAACATGACAGCCATAGTGGCCTGCTATTCTGCAAGTCTGCCTGAGATGTCAGAGAAAGCTAAGGACACTAAGAACTCTTGTTAACTCAAATACTTTAAAGTAAAACATTGTTCAGAAGTAGTTCCTATAATATATTTCAATTTCTTTTGTACATGTTTTTACTCTTGCATGTAGAGATATCCATATTCATATGTGGTTTTGTGGTGGAAACAAATACAATAAACATTTTAAATGATTTTACAGGCACACTTAAATTTTAGAAGGGAATTGGATAAACATGTAACAGGTAATAATTTAGATTCTTTATGATTACGTAGTGCTTTACAAAGCATTTTGTTACTGTGTAACTGTCATCAGTGGGCCCCAAAGACAGGTGATATACAAGAGCCCTGTGCACACTGATGGCCTCTGCGGCCCTCATCCCCTGGGAGATTTCACATGGGAGGAAAGATAGGACAGACCCCCATGTCTTAGGTGGAATTCTTGCCAGGTGTGGATGGACACATGCATCTTACCAAGTGTCATTATACTATCTGACTCAGATCCTATTTACTTCATTGGACTCTTTTTCTCTCGTAGAATGTATAGTTCCTGTGAGTGGGGGTCTTGTCTATCGGTTGCTGCTCTCAACTCAACCCCCAGGTTAGTGTCTGAGACCACTGGCTCTCCATACATGTTTGTTGACTGACTGACTGATTGACTAACTGAATGAATAAATAAGTGGATTAATCTGTGGGTGTGAAGACAGAAAAGAACAAAGTAAGCAATGAGGACCCCCACCTAAGAGTGTGACTGGATCATAGGGATTTCAGCCCAGCTGTGCTCATTAGAAGTTGCTTTTAACATGTAGACTCCTCCCCTGGCAGGTGGTGGATGAAAGGTGTGACAACTCTGTCTGTACTATTGGGTTGGCCAAAAAGTTCATTTGTTTTTCTCCCATGAGATGCCTCTAGTAGCAATTGGATGTCTTTAACTTCACTAGAAACAATTTTGTTAAATTGTATTGTGACAGTGTGCATTAAAAAAACATCAAAATTGGTAAACTTTTGTGTAGCCATTTTAATATCAAAGATGGGAGAAAATAAGCGACATTTTTGGCATATTATAATTTATTATTTCAAGAAAGGTAAAAACACAACTGAAACACAAACACCAACTTGTGCAGTGTATGGAGAAGAGGCTGTGACTGATTGAGCATGTCAAAAGTGGTTTGCAAAGATTCGTGCTGGAGATTTCTCAATGGACAATGCTCCATGGTCGGGTAGACCAATCGAAGTCAATAGTGATCAAATTGAGATCTTAATTGAGAACAATCAATGTTCTACCACTCAAAATATCCAAATCAATAAAGTTATTGGTGAAAGTGAAAAATGTGTCTTTTATTCTACAGAAAAAACTAAATGGACTATTTGGCCAACCCAATACTTGTTTCCCTCATGTACCAATAAACTGCCTTATCACTGAGTTTTTTTAGGTAAAATTTTTATCTACTATAAAAATGTCTAACTTCTACAAAACACACAAACAGTTGAAAGACAGCCTAGTAAATCCAAGGTTTGTAAAAAACTGCACAAAACCCATGGTATTTGGGAAAAGAGGAAACAGTTACATTAAGTAGCACTTTTAAAATTAACTTTTTTCTACTATCTATTGCCCATTAACATACACACACTGATTGAAAACATGATAAAGCCAACGTCTGAAAAGCAGTTCAACATTTCCTAAATAGATTTTCCCTCGGATAATGTATAACGTCACTGTTGATACTGCACAAGTACAAATAAGCAATGTTTAATTAAAGAGATTTTCTCCTTCAAAACATGTTTTAACCATCAAAACAGCTGAGCTGCTTACAAATATTTAGGTTCTATCTTGCCACCAGTGGTTAGAGGCAAGAGGTCTAAGAAATTTGGAAATCCCCAGTCACTGTGATAACAGGGTATAGTATAGTCGCTGAGACCCTATCTTTGCTGTCAGACATTAGTTTGAATGATTTCTACTGTTCAGTCAGTGTGTGATTTCAGATCACTTTACCACTCTACCCTCTTTTTCCTCATCTCTAAGATGGGCACAAAACCTGCTCTTCAGAGTTAAATGGTGGTGGGTTGACAGAGACAATGCATATAAACAGTCTAGCATATGGCCTGGCACTTAGTATGTGCTCAATTAAAATGACTCTCATTTTCTTCATCACCTACCATTCTTTTAGCAGCATGTGTTGACATCAAAGGAAACCTAGTCTTTCTTCTGATAGTATGTGTACTTAGTACTCTTTGTAGAATCAAAAAATCACTATAAATAGAACACTATAGTTATTTGGGAATACAGTGTTGATTAGTGAGCAGTTAATGGGAATGAACCATTTCACCTGGAGTTCCCAGGTTATTTTGCAGGCAAGATCACAAAACCCTTATTCTCCTTACGAGAGGTTCCTGTAGCCAGATGCGGATCAGAGTTGCCAGGGTGTAGTACATCACTAGCAGGAGAATGGGGTTGGCATGGTGGTGCCACGACAGCTCTGGGTTTGCCACGATCTTCCACGTGCTGGAACAGTCTGTTTGAATTACTGATTTGATACCAAACAACCTGTTTAAAAATAAAGAGAAATATTCAAAAGATATCATGAATATCTGTGTCCCTAACAAAAAAAAAATCTTGTTTTTAGTACATTCACATGCTCTTCCTAGGTTAGTTGATCTTATTCTAGATATTTTAATACTCTTCTGTACATATAACTACATCTTTAAATAATGTATGTATTTATATAAAACACATACATTTTTAATATCATATGTGTGTATATATATGATGCCAACATTAGCCAGATGATCTTTATATTGGTTAAAATCTAGCTAATACCAAATCCTCACACACCTATTAAAAATTTACATTTTAATTGCCAGTCAGCTTTATTTAAACTGTGCTGTATTGAAATATCAGGTAAGTAGTAACATGGTCTTAAATACAGATAAATTAGCACTTTTTTAAATAGGATTCAGTATAGCTATTCAGTTAGTGACATTATTGGGCAAGTGTTGAAATTGGAAACAGTTCTATGATTCAGCCATAAAAACCAGATACTGTATACTAGAGTTTCTGTTAGATATACTCTATCTGCCTGATTTTATTTATGGGAAATTTGGTTGTTTTACTTTGAAGTATGCTTTTATAAGCCTTCTTAAATTCTGAAATGTTTAATGTTCCTTCTACTATATAAACAGAGTGTTTGTAATTATATAATGGGAAATTATGTAAAATATGATTCTTTTAGAAATTTGTTTTATATAAATTCCTCTAAGAAAGAATTCTACTAAATGAATAAAACTTTTATATGTTAAGTGAGCCTCATATCTTTTTATCATTTGTAACTTTTATATGTAAACGTCCTTTGACTTTTTTCCTTTTATATGTAACCTTTCTTGATTGAGATATAAGATCTTCCAAGACCAAATGTCCCTCACTCATAAAACCTTTCAACTTTAGTATTATTTTCTATCACAAGGCAAGTATAATACTGGGGTGAGTTTCTGAACACAAATTTTAAAGCTACATAGAAATTAAATTTTCTTTAATTTATTAGAAAAAATAAAATATACTAGAACTCACTCTTATTATAGGTCTTTTCTTCTAGGTCCAAGGAGATAATTTTTTTTTGTAGTTAGTATTAGAAAGGAAAAAAGTCCCTGATAACAACAGTTATGTCTCAGCATGGCAGAACATTCTGAATATTGTTTTGCAATCCTAGATTAAAATGTAAATTTCTGGTATAAAGTATATGGAGCCAAAAGCTTTCAGATTTAGCATCAGCTGAGCTGAATGGTCTTTGGATTAATCTAAGCAGCATGTTTCATCTACCAAGTCCTTACTCTTTTTACTCCACACCTGGTGCATACTCTATAAATACCTAATCAATTGTTAGTTTAAAAACACCTGTATTGACTCATCAGAAAGTTAGTAGTTTCCACAGCTGTTTGTAAACTCTGTGCTTCATAAAAGACTGTATCACATCCACATTTTATACCTTACAGTTGATATCATAGCTTATTTCAAACTGCCTTTGTGCAGTTCCACCAGAACACCGAGGAATCAATGTTAATTTTTATACTACCAGTACATGAACATACAAGCATGGGTGGAAGCTATTAAATGAAAGATTACTGTACTCTATATGAAATTTTTTCTAATAGGGCTATGCAAATATTGTAAGGCCCGAGATTTCTTCCTTTCTCTTTTATCTTTTAATTTTATTTTTAAATTACAGTTTACATTCAATATTATTTTCTGTTAGTTTCAGGTGTATAGCATAGTGGTTAGACAATCATATATTGTACTTTACAAAGTGGTCCCCCTGATATTTCAAGTACTCATATAGCACTGAACATAGTTATTACAGTGCTATTGACTATATTCCCCATGCTGTACATTACATCCCTGGGACTTTTATGTGACTACCAATTTGTAGTTCTTAATTCTTTCACCTTTTTAACCTAACCCCTCTCCCCTCTATATTTATGTTTCTATTTTGCTTTTTCCTTTACTTTCTAGATTCCACATATAATTGAAATCATGTGGTATTTGTCTTTCTCTGCCTGACCTATTTAACTTAGCATAATACTCTCTATATCCATCCATGCTATTGCAAATGGTCTCTTTCTCTTTTTTTCAAAGAATCTAAATACTACAGAAAGAATTGCTAGGTAAGCTGGGAAGTTTGTACTTAAAATTTCACATTTTTTCGGGCACTTCAATTCTAAGATGCTATGCAATATCTAACTGTTTTTAATTTACTTATTATTGTAGACTCCTATAATCCAGGATTTTTTTCTCAATATTGACAATACACAGAAAAGTAATATCATAGTACCTGTCCTCCAGGAAATCACTCTTGATCTAACTATAATGATGTGATATGCTAGTTTGGTGAAAGCATGATGTTACAGAAACTCTTTTTGTCTATAGGTGGGATGCATGCTGGGTAGGGTAGTAGGGAAGAAGAATGCTGGATATTGAGACAATTCAAAAAGAACAGGTAAGTAAATAAGAGAAAAGAGAAACCCTGAAGGATTGGTGAGATGTTGCCAGGTTGTGAGGCTGGACTGGGGAGGGAAAGTCAGAAACTGGCTCAGAAATTTCTGGCCTCCTGCTTCTCCAGAAATTCTATTATTGTTAGTTTATGTGCTTGTTTCTCTGTCAAGTTTCATTGTAATTCCTTCAGAAAAGAATATGTGTCATCATTTTGCCTTGATGGCAGTGTCTAGTATATAGCAGAATTTAAATGCAATCTTAGCTACTTGAGTTAAAAGCACAAAGACTAAGTTTATACCATTAAGTTATAGTAGGTGATTATTGGTACAGTAGGAGTAGAGACTAAGGGATGTCAAAGTTTCTGCTTTTGAGAAACAAAAGGAGAAAGAAGGAATGAGAAGGAACTGTGGATACACAAGAGCATTTATAGAATATTTAGAAAAACATTGCCATCTGAACCCCAACATCCATGACTTTTGTGCTCTTGGTCTCAGAAATAAGAACACAGAATATGAGTATAACAGCACCACAAGAACACTTTGACTGAAATCTACTTGCATCTTATATAGCAGATAATTACTTTTGTTCTCTTTGAGCTGTCAATAAGAATCTTCAACTCTACCTTCTGGAAGGATCAATACATAAATGTATATAAATAAGAAATAAAACTTTGTTTCAAAATGAGAATGCAAAATTGTAATTAAGAAACAATAAGACATTGAAATATCCAATATAACAAAATATGGTGCAACCTGATGATTCCTCAAAGATCTTACAACTGTACTTTATTCTAATTACTAAACATAAAAATCCATTATATACTTTTTGATAAAAGAGGACATCACAGCTGCAAGTGTCTTTCATTACATCATGGTGGTTATTCCCCCTTCATAGGCCCAAGCACACCACTGACTCTCAGCTCTAATGGGACTCCCTGAGCTCATTTTCAACATCTCTATGCCTCCCATGGAGTATTTGCTTCACATTTTTCTCTCTCTCTACAAAGCACTCATAACATCATACAACACATGGTGATTATGAATTGGCAGGGCATTTTTTTTTACTTGTACATGTTGGAAAATTCATAAAACATCCACTTGTTTACGGAGTCACTCGTGATCACATCTGCTTGGTCTCTAGTAATACAGAAACCCAACCATTTGCAAGAATTACATAATACTGAAAATAACAACACATTATAGGAAAATTTAATATTGGTAAAATACATATAGCATAAAATTTGTCATCTTAATTTTTCAAGTGTACAGTTTAGTGGTATTAACTATAGTAGCATTGTTGTGAAGTTATCCCCACCACCCACTTCCGAAACTTTTTCATCTTCCCACACTGAAACTGTACCCATTAAATAGTAACTCCCCATTATCCACTCCCCTCAGCCCATGGAAGCCACCATTCTACTTTCTGCCTCAATGAAATTGACTACTCTAGGTACCACATGTAAATGGAATTATACAGTATTTGTCTTTTTGTCTTTAAGGCTCTTTAAGGCTGAATATACACTGTATGTATATATCACATTTTACATCCATTTTCCACAGATAAACACTTCTACCTTTTAACTTGTGAATAATGCTGCTATGAATATCAGTGTACAAATATCTCTTTAAGACCCTGCTTTTAATTTTGGCCGCATACCCAGAAGTAGAATCATGTAATTGTATGGTAATTCTATTTTTAAGTTTTTGAGGAACCACCACATTGTTTCCCGCAGTGGCTGTACCATTTTATATTCTCACCATCAGTGAACGAGCATTTCAATTTCTCCACATCATTGCTAATACTTGTTATTTTTATTTTTTTGATAGAAGTGATCCTAATGGGTATGAATTTGGACACCACACTTTTAATTTTACAGTTTCTTCTTAAGAACTCATATAGCTCTTTATGAACCAAGCCTCTCATAGTGATACAGGGAGGCATATTCTTCAATTAAATAAGAATTCACTAACTAAAATGTAAGAGTATGGAGTGGGGTTGATAAAAATCTAGGCAGATTTTATATCTTATTTTGAAGCCGAGAAATATATTCTTACCAACTAAGGTAAAAAGATTGTTTTTGGACAAAACATCCTCTAGAGGAAACGTCTTTTAATAATCTTCTCATTGAAATCTTAGATCCTTTAATTGAAATAAATTGGGGGAATGAATGGAGAGAAGAAATAGAAAGACAAGAAGTGGAGGAGATGCAGCTCTTTCTTAGAGTCTGAGTGCAGGCTTAGAAGGGAGGAGTCTTGCTGAGAGTGGCATAGTTCAATCAAGAGGGAGAGTTTCCCAATGTCAGACTCGCATGGTGCTCAGTCATTTCTATTCTCAGACTGCTTTCCCTGGAAAGGAGTTTGGTGCCACCCCAGGGGTCTGAAGGCTCTCTGTAAGGAATTCCATGCTGAGTATTCAGGAGTTTCATAAAACAAAAGAAGCTGAATGAATCAATCAGTGATAATTAGCATTGACTAGTTTCATATAGACTTTGACTCAGGTTAGTACCCAGTAATAAAAGTAGCCCTTAGCAAAGGAGCAGAGAAGCCTAATTTGTGTAAGTC